CCGGTAGGGGACTTATGGATTGCTTGCAATACTATGATAATTGCTTGTTTTCTATATATCTCAATAAACTAGGTAATTTATAGTCGTTTTACTCCCTACAGTACGCGCCTCCTCCATGAAAAATAATAAGTTTAATATGTTTAATCTTCTTTTACTTTAAAAAAACTTTATTAGAAATTGTTTATTTAACCCTTTCCCCCATGAGCATATTGTGAAAAATGGCCATTTTCACTGAAAAGCCTCCTCTTACAAGTTCAAACTGCTATGAAACTATGAAAAATGCTTCAATACTAATCAAACTTGGCACAAATGTTGACTGGACCATTGCCTTTGTAACGACATGCTCAGTCTTAAATTTCCTGTTACCGTGGCAACGAGGGGACATCTCAAAATTGCCAAAAATCACTATTTTGCCTCGATTTTTTCCATCAAAATTTATTTCAAAGTGCTGCAACTTCTCAAGGGATTGAGATAGAGTCAAAGGCTTTTCAGCGTTGGTTACACGTTACCTTATGATCGATCTGGAGTCATTTTAAGCTTCTCACAAGTCCAAAGTTTTCTTGGTGATGAGGGGGACTCCGCCCCCCTTCAAACCCCCCAAACAGAAGGGGGCACATTCCCCTTCTGGCAACCCCCTGATGTATCTTTTGGACGGGGGGCGGCGCCGAAAAAGTGCTCACTTTTTTAGCAACATTTCTCAAACGAAAACCTGTGTTTGGGGCCCAAATAGGACATTTTTCACTATTTCAGTCCTAAAAAAAAGGGGGGGGGGGGGTCGAAAGTGCGTTAATTTTGTTTCGCGTATATATGAGGTAAAGGGTTAACAAAAAATGATGAAAAACTTTGGAATCACCCAAAATCTAGTTTTTCCATGTTAAGATGTGGTCTTTTACCTAAATTTTGTGAAAAATTGTTGTTTTGTAACATTTATAATTTTTTTAGTTAACCCTTTCCCCCATGAGCATATTGTGAAAAATGGCCATTTTCACTGAAAAGCCTCCTCTTACAAGTTCAAACTGCTATGAAACTATGAAAAATGCTTCAATACTAATCAAACTTGGCACAAATGTTGACTGGACCATTGCCTTTGTAACGACATGCTCAGTCTTAAATTTCCTGTTACCATGGCAACGAGGGGACATCTCAAAATTGCCAAAAATCACTATTTTGCCTCGATTTTTTCCATCAAAATTTATTTCAAAGTGCTGCAACTTCTCAAGGGATTGAGATAGAGTCAAAGGCTTTTCAGCTTTGGTTACACGTTACCTTATGATCAATCTGGGGTCATTTTAAGCTTCTCACAAGTCCAAATTTTTCTTGGTGATGAGGGGGGGACTCCGCCCCCCTTCAAACCCCCTAAACAGAAGGGGGCACATCCCTCTTCTGGCAACCCCCTGATGTATCTTTTGGACGGGGGGTGGGGGGGCGGCGCCGAAAAAGTGCTCACTTTTTTAGCAACATTTCTCAAACGGAAACCTGTGTTTGGGGCCCAAATAGGACATTTTTCACTATTTCAGGCCTAAAAAAAGGGGGGGGGGGGTCGAAAGTGCGTTGTTTCGCGTATATATGAGGTAAAGGGTTAAGCTTAAATCTACCTTCTTTTGATATATTAAAGACATGTTCAGATATAAATAACGTGTTGTACTTTATGTAGTTGTACAAATATATGTATGTGTATGGCAATCTAATGCTAAATATACATTGTTAATTAATATTAGTTAATAGGAGAGAGACACCAAGAATTCGAGATTTGTGCAAAAAACAGATACGTTACCATTTTTCCAATTGCTTTCAGAGACTAGATAAAAATACTTAGCATGATTATAATACTGCACGTTTGTAACGTCGTTTTTCATTGGATAATCGTGACGTTTATATAGTTTTATATACACGGCTGTTGTCGATTCATGAACAAATCTTACTTTTTTCTCTAAAAAAAAAGTTTGCTGTATTATAAATTCGTTATAAAGATTGTTGACAGGTTATATGGCCGTATATAAACGGCTGTTTGCAATATAACCCTCGCCTAGCGGCTCGGTTTATATTTACAAATAGCCGTTTATATAGGGCCATATAACCTGTCAACGATCTTTATAACTAATAATATACACAATTTAGAAATTCATTATCATTCTTTCAACAATATAGCACCAGTATAAATTACAAAATATCATGCATCAATATCCATTTTAAAAAAAATCCACGTCGAACTGAAGCTGATGAAAATGTTACTTATTAATCAGACGTTTTTATTCCAAATACATGATTTACTTATAAAAGCATTAACAGTATAAATTTATTCCGCTAAGTGGAAACGAATATTAAATCATAGTAACGTATCTGTTTCACCGTTCTACTATGAACAAAATTATGAAAAACCCTGAACACGTAGATAGATATTCATAAAGTTTTTTTTAAACAACTGACCAATAAATAATATGTCTGAACCAGTACTTTTAATATTAAATAGAACACACAAAATCTTTTCCAGTTTTTTTAGGTTTTATTGTTTTCTGACTGTAGCTTCAAATAGTCAATAACATTGTGACTTTAACAAGAACATTTAAATAAAGACACCCATCTATTAGAATATGTAACAGCTAGATTAATTTGAGTGTTTCATAGTGTGAATTGACATTCTGTATTTCGTTTGTCTTTTTGGTTCATCTGCTGTTCAATTGTCTTTATATACTGGTACAATCTCGATCCTTGATTGTGTCATACTGAATGGTGATATGAGTAAGCCTACATGTATATGCTTATCTACATTTAACAAAATTATATCAGAAACAATGGTACCGCTTAAAGAAAACTAACTTAGTATTATAATCAATCCATATATATGTGCACCTCCAAGATGTTGATCTATATCCAAATTAGTCCATTCCTACCATAGACAGACTATCTTGATACAACGCTGACTAAAATTTGGAAACTAACGGGCATTCATTTAAAAATACTTTAATATGTTGTTTTTTTTCATTACGTTAGAGTGCTGTTATATATTGCCTAACCATATATTACTAATTTAAACCAAAGTTTTGTTGAAGATTTAGTTATATATATTAAACAGTACTCAAATCTCTTTCTAAACAGATACGTTACAATGATAAACTGATACGTTACCAGAAGTTATACAGTCCTCTACATTTTATTTTTAATACAAATTTTGCAAACTAAAAAGATATCAACATATATTTATTCCAGGAAATAAAACAGTAAATCTTTATATGTTTCTTTCCTATTTTTTCAACATTTTATTTTCTAGAAAACTCGACTAATCCTTGAATTTCAAATTCCTGATTCACATTTTCAGTTTTCCAATAAAATCGAGATCAATGCATCATTTATCGGCTACACGTACGTTATGCTGTGATTTTTAACATGAAACCATATCAAAACTGAGCGAAATCGCCAATTAAGATTCAAACAATAAATATTGGTAACGTATCTGTTGGTAATTAACGCATCTGTTGGTCAAAAATTTAAAATATATCAGATATACACATATGTTTGCCAAATAGATCAAATATTAAGTTTTATAAAGCATATATTTGAATAATGCATAAATGCGATCCTTCTTTTAAGTGCTGGTAATAGTAAATGTTTCTCAGTGGGATATCATGGTTACGTATCTGTTTCACTTTAAAGTATAATCCAATTTGCCTCATCATTGCAAAGTCATTGTGGTTCTAGGATGTATATTGTAGTCAAAATTATTTTTGAATTATGAAATATGATGAAACTTGAGTTCAATATGTTACAAGTTCATATTACTCTTACTCAGGTTTACCTTAAGTGTGGTAACGTATCTGTTCAATATATGAGGGACATGCATTTAAGCTGGTAACTTTTTTCGAAATTCACTGTAGAAAACAATAAAAATCGTTCACTTAGCGGGGGCGTAACTGAGCTATTTTGATATGTACTCCTTAAATAGGGGGGTTCGGGGGCATGATTTTCCTTATTTGTATAAATTTAATGTATATTAAAAACTTAAAAAATCTTCTTTTAAAAATACAAAATAGCTAGAGCTTTAAGATATTAATCATGAAACATCTTCCAAAGGGTGTCTACCAAGTTTGTTAAAAATAAAGCCCTGGGGTGAAAATTGGCCCCGCCCCAGGGGGTCATTGTTTTTCCCTTTATGTATATAGTAAAAACTTAAAAAGTCTTCTTTTTGAAAAACCCAAGAGCTAGAGGTAAGATATTTAGCATGAAACATTTTCTAATGGGTGTCTACCAAGTTTGTTCAAATAAGGGCACTGGGGTTAAAATTGGTTCCGCCCCGAGGATCATTGATTAAATTTCCTTGTATGTGTATACACAGGAACTTAAAATTCTATCAATATTAATGATAATATTCAAAATATACCCCCCTATACAGTATAATTTATACTGTATAGGGGGTATATTTTGGATATTATCATTAATATTGGTTATTTGATAGAATTTCAAGTTCCTGTGGTGTATAGTAAAAACTTAAAAAATGAGACTTCTTTGAAAACCCCTAAGAGTTAGAGTTTAGATACTAAAGACTACTAGTATGACATGATGTGAACAGAAGCTGCTTCAGATGAAAAGCAGCTTATAAAGTTTTGGAAGCCAGAACTAGGCTATAGATCTATATAATTTTGTACATTTATATATTAATGATATGACATGTACATATCCTAAGTAAAATTGTGTTTTCTTATGCTTTAATTAACAAATTATCTAGAATCTGGGACAAAAATACCTTTTTGCCCCAGCAGGGTCTTTCAAATATTCTATTCTATTCTAAAGACCCTGACCCTACAGGCCTAAGATAAAATTTATTGCATAACTTCATTAAAATGATCTGCTTGACTGGGATCTGGTATCTTGATCTAAAAGTAAAATAGTCCAAACAATGAGATCAATGAAAACCCTTTCTTACACCTACACTGGACACGGATGACCAGCGTGTATTTACCTGTCAAAGCGACGCACCTCCGTGATTGCTCATAAATCCCGTCCAATAAGGTATGGTAAAATTGTCACGTGCACACTATTATTATTTGTAACGGAAACACAAAAGGTGTACCAAAAGATCAATGGATTTTCGCATGTTTCTTGCATAATCGTTAATACACAAGGGATTAAGATATTTTGGATATACAAGGAATTAAGTTTTCGGAATATTTTGACTGAAGTTTATTAAGAAAATTTGAAAAATTATCTGGTTTATCGGCATCCAAGATGGCGGACCACGTAATTTGGTGACACATCCGAACACCCTTCCCTGACACCTTTTATTGTTATCTAATTACAGTTTTTAGCATGTACCATCGTAAGGTAATTTCATATAGACAATAAGACATAATACTGTCAAGTATAATAGCAGTTTGATAAGACAAAGTAATCTTGTGTTTATTTTGAGTGTCCTAATTTTTACCTGGATTTTTCTTTCGGACAGACCATGCAACGGAACTAAGGAACATTTCGTCTGGTTATAATGAGTTCTAATCATAGGTTAAAATCACATCGGGCACTCCGTGGATTATCTTTATTGTTAGTGCTAGTGATCCTGAAATATGATAAAGTAGCTTGTCAAGGTAAGCAAATACATTTACCTGTGCAGGTGTTTCAAAAATATGACATTTTTTTTTATTATTAGACAGAATAAGTGACAGCTGCTTATTAAACATTATATGTCACTGTATGATTGTGTTGATTCATCCATATTTGTTAATGTAAGCTTATAAGTAAATATTTGTCATATATTCACAAATATATTACCCCCTGGGGTAGTCAAAATATATTGACATGCCAAATCTTGATTCTGAGATATTTTCGTTCTGGGGCAGAATCTCGCTTTTAGAGGCGAGCTATTGCCCAGACACGAAAATTGCACAATATCTTGTCACGCAGTACAATTAGTTGGACTACCCCTGTGGGTACCGCGCCTGTATCCTGGATTAGACCCCCGAGGTCTAAATCAGGAGAATATATACTAAGCTCATTCTGTATTTGTACTGTCTTCTCCTTATCTGTCCCAAGTAGTGCACATAGCGGAGAAGGCAACCAGCAGGTCACCTCAAGTACCAGAGCTAGAGCGAGACAATTGGTCCAGTGTCGTGACTAACTCCATAGGCTAGTGACTCTAACAAGAGCCGTTTTTGTTATGATGCCGTCGGAAATGTTATGCCTTGGCAGTATATTGTCGTATCCTACACTCTCCACCAACAAACGAAGAACAAATCAAAGAAGATCATCATGAAAAGATGTCCCTGATGTGACTTATATGCAGTGGACGTGCATGGACACTGCTAAATCTCAAATATATGGTTAAATCCAGCGCCAAGCATAAATAAAACTAACTACACACAAAATTTGTACTGTATTAATGTAATTGGGTACATGATTTATTAGACATTGACTAGTATGTGACTAAATTACTTGTACAAGCTACATGTAATTTTAAAATGAAACAATTCTAAATACGTAATCAGGAAATTTGATTGACATATGGAGAAACTCCTGTAAGTTGTTATGAAAGGGAACAAAACAGTTCACCCCTCCCATAGACTTCGGATGAATACGGGTCAGGTCGGCCCTAAAACGTACTCGGCCCCCGAGTCAGCTCGGCCCTATACCAACTCGGCACGGGTCAACTCGGCCCACTCTTCAATTATTAATATTTAGGTTTGTGTTATCACTATTTATTGTAATTATTTATAATACACGGATTGACAGTAACGATTTTTTTTATGATAATCTTAATTTAAAGCTTTTGACAATTACAAATTAAAAGAAATTGGTAAAAGACATTAAAGGATTCCTATTGTCACGGGCTTTTATTATCAATCAATGTGTATGTTAAGGATACCGATTAATTAGGTGATAATTATGATTGACTCATTCATTCAAATTTGATTACTGACCACCTGCAATTAATTAGACGCTTATGATATTAAGTGAACACGTTTTTGTTTCATATTTTTTAACATTACTTTACAAACAAAATGCATCTAAGGAAACACATTTTTATTAGAACTATATTAATCTTATCGAATCTGCAAGACAAATAAATAACTTTTTTTTCTTCTAAATATACTTTATTTCGGCAGAAGTACAATGCATAATTATATAATAATAAGATATATTTCATTTACCTTAACAACAAGCAAAGCAAAGTTCATACGTTATATATATTTTTGAAAAGTGGGCCGAGTTGACCCGTGCCGAGTTGACCCGTGCCGAGTTGGTATAGGGCCGAGTTGACTCTTTTCCCTTCGGATAATGTCTACTACTGGTAATGCATGAAGTCCATCAATGTACAAAATGTGAACCCCCTGGGTGACATTTATGCTATGTTGAAAATAGGCAAATATCATTGAATTTCAATGTTGTTAATGAACACCTGTGTCCTACAAAGAGATCAAAGATACTTAAAGTAGAAGATTATTTGTACATCATCACATTGATCATTCAATCCAAGCTGGTTGCAAAACTGAATCTTCTAATGGTCAAACTAAATTTACCAAATGAAATAACTTAGACAAGATACAATGTAACTATAAAACAATTATTTGGTTTAAACCTTAAACTTTAATTATTGATCAGGCAGTTTGATTTATTGATCAAGCTCCCAAGAATTTTCAAAACTTCACTATAATGACTCATAAAGACAGTGGTAATTGATATATCGAATTACCCTTCTCTAATTTCACATTTATTAATTAAGTCACAACCGGTTGTCTAATTTCAGTTAAGTTAGGAGTCTTAAAAAGACCAGTGTCATGGTACTTGCCATGTAACTAAAGTACAAATCTTCATGTAAACCTATTTGGAAAAAAGGACAAAAGCTTTTTATTAAGTGATAAAAATCTTATTTTTGCTTTACTAGCAATTTCTGTCTGAAAATACAATTGCATTCACACAAATGGAATCTTGATAACAATTTTAAATATTAAAATGTGATTATGCTGGTTCTATATGACTATGTAATTATTTAATTCTAAGAATACATTTCTTTAACCACAATTGTGACAATTTCATTCATACAACTTTGCAGGAATATTGACATCTTGTACCAATGTTTTGCAGAGAAAATATCTAGAATTTCTCGCATTAACTAAAACTGTATAATTTCTCATTTATGTACATTGCATGTTATGTATTGTATATATATACATGTATAATAGCACAGTATAAAAAGACTGAGGTGTTTAAATCTAATTAATAAAGGTAGACTAAGCTTGTCACAATCTGTGACTGTGTTAAGTAATGTAAAAATGTGATTCATTAAATTAATTAATTAACCATGGTTAATATATAATGGCCGTGCATTTTTGTTTTTACAAAAGAATGTACTTCTCTCTTTTTCTACATTTAAGATATTGAAACAGTTGCATGTTTGGGAGCATTTATCCTGCCAGTATAATGTAAAGAGTAGTTGTTATCTGATATAAGGCAACTATAAAAAGCTCCTGGTAATGTCTGGACAATGTGTGTTAAGGTAAAATACAGGTGTGTTCAATGGTAAATTGTGTAAGGATATTGTTTCAAAGATTACTGTGATTGTGTATAAAGTGGTGTATTAACTTTCAGTGTGGTATGCCTAATATACCCTACATCATTGTTTTGGTGAAAATCGCCCACCCTATTTAGTAGAAACATACACATTGAGGATATTTGTTTGTTTTACTTGTAAATTGAAATATATATTCACTGAGTAACCAGATGAATAAATATTTAGAGTGCATAGCACAGTGAAAATAATAATAGCTGGTGATTTCACGAATGAAATAGTATTTCAATCATTATGTATAAAAGCAAAACAATTGTTTTTATATTTTATGTTTTTAAGTGATTTTAAGTATTTTTTTACAGATTTTTCCGCGTAACGTCGCGCATTCTCCTTTGTGACGTCATTATATCATGACGTCACATCATCAGTTTTGAAATATAGTTCTGTTAAATGTCTCTAATTTTGTTAAATTTTTAACATGATGTATGATGACATTGACTTTCTTTTCTTAAAGAAGCAAAATTTACATATAACGGCATTTATTTCTGCCTGTTATTCCATTTAGTTATGATTTTCTTTTCATCCACATTCAGATATAGTCCGGCTACAGTGAAAATTATATTTTATAAATTTCACTAGTGGTTTATCAGAATATAATCATCTGATATATAACAATTAAACACTGGAAAGCATGAAATAAATCATTATGTATATATAAATTGTTGCCTAAAGGACATCATGTGTTTGTTTATATATGTCTGACATTCTTATCCAAGAAGTAATTAATTGACAAAGTTGATTAAGCATTACTCAACAACAAAAATGCATTTTACATTCCATTTACTTAAAACTGTTGTGACATTATATGTACACAAATTTATGATTTTAACTTGTTTAACAATTAAACAGGTATTCATAGATGTTTGATATAAAAATTACTCCTAAATTGATATACAAAAAATGTTCAATTACATACATGCGTTGTACAATTTAATAGTTTTTTTACTATTAAATACCAACTTGAGCATGCTCAAACAGTGCAGACCAAGATCTGAATCTGATTGTCATGCCTACACTGTTTGCTATCCATGCCTACACTGTTTGCTATCCAATTAGTACAGATTAATGTGAAATTTTTCCTAAAAATGATGAATGATTTTATCCAGATTGAAAGATTATAATGAGACTTGAAAGATGGTCAAGTCAATTTAAGATTATTAAAAATAAAATGAGATAAGGATCAATAAATATAAGCCAAGTTTTTAATGAAAGTATAGTGAATATGATATCATATAATGTTAAACATGGAAGAAAAATGTCATTTTTCGACCGTAAAGATGATATTAATCTTCGGTTTGTTTCTTTCTGATAATTGAATAATATGCTAAATTGGTTTATTTCCTTACTTTGCTATTTACCAAATTCTTCTCATGAAAGGTCTATTTGTTTGAGTGTGTGAAAATAACAAGTTGTCAAAGGTCTCATTCTCAGTTACAGATAATTGAATCCCCACTGTCCACTTTTATTGGTGTAATTGTAAAAAAAAAGTTTTAACCAGTTTTAAAGTCTCACCTTGTAAATAATTGACATAAATTCTGCAGGCAGTACTTTTAAAGCAATATTATGACCTGTTTTCTTTTCTTGTATACAACTCATTTGAATAGGAAAATCAAAGATTAGGTTAATTTAATCTAATATTTTGTTGAAAAGTTGTTTGACAAGTACTATTTGAAGAACTATTATGTATATAAATTAAATAAAGTGTTGAGTGCATGATGTAAGCCCTATCTATATGAATATAAAACCCTTGAAATTGTCTTATCTTTCATAATCATATGATAAGGTTACAAACAGTCTTGTAAAAAATTGAGATTTTTTTAGATATTTTCATTATGGAATTGGGTAAATCAACTTACACGTGTGCCTGTTTTCTAAACTTTTGGGGGAAAATGACCCCTATAATATTGATGGATTCAACTTATTGCCTGGTCACTTTTAATATTTTGGTTATATTGGAAACCCTGAAACTCAAAAATTCAAACATTAAGAATTCATAACCATTTAAAACTATCATCATTAACAAAGTTGTTTAAAATATAAAAGTATTTCAAATAAAATATTCTTAATTTTTTTTTATCAGGAAGTAGCCAAACTCTTTGTCAATGTTTTTGAGATAGTTTACAAACTGAAAATGTCTTAACAGTTACGTTATTATGTCAAAATATATAGGTAGGGGAATTGTGGGATTATTATATTCACCATTGTTAGTTGGCTATATCTATTATATAGCAGCACAGATATGTGGGCTAAAAACTTGTTTTGTAACCGGCAATATTATGCACTTTATAAAAAGATATTTGTTGACAAGTTACATGATAACATTAAATATAAATGTTTGTTTTGAAATATTAGTTTAAACATTGTCTTTTCCTTAACTAAATTGTGACTCATACACCATTATTTGACCAGGTTTACTTTCATTGTTTAGATATAGCTTTAAGGTATATATTGGGACAATATACATTAATTTGAACCTTTGTTGTTAAACATTGCATCACATAACACAGTATAATCAATTTAACCTTTGATCTTAGATAAAATGTAAACAATTATTGAATTTGTAAATATAACACATTTTTTTCATAATTTATTCATGAGATTGTATGATGAAACAATGTTTTAGATATCTTAAGCTACAAAGTTGTACTATCTATAAGTAAGTTATCTTGTTTATGTACATACTTATGTGAAGGACCCAACATTTACAATAAATATGTTCATGTAATTGGAAAAAATAACCCAAAATGTGTGACTGAAAAGTGCTGGACCAAGATGGTATTTCAAAGACAAATTGGAAAAAATTTGAATTTCTTTCTTTCTTTTGCACTCCTTTTTAGCTCGATTTTTCTATGAAAAGGGGAGCTATCCTACTCGCCCCGGCGTCGGCGTCGGCGTTGGCGTCACACCTTGGTTAAGTTTTTCGTACCACCCCACTTTATTTCAGAAGTATTACAAGTATGGCTTTGAAACTTACCATACTTGTTCACCATCATAACCTCCATCTACAGACAAGAGTACATAACTCTGTCAAGGTTTTTGACAGAATTATGGCCCTTTTTTGACTTAGAAAGTGTATTGAGCTTGGTTAAGTTTTTTGTACCACCTCACTTTATTTCAAAACCATTGGAGGTATTGCTTTGAAACTGACCATACTTGTTTACCATCACGACCTTCATCAACAGACAAGAGGACATAACTCTGTCAAGGTTTTTGACAGAATTATGCCCCTTTTTGACTTAGAAAATACATTGAATATGGGTAAAATCCACTTATTGCCTTAACCCTTTGAGATATTGCTTTGAAACTTTTAATGCTATTTCACATCATTACCCCCATCTGTACGCAAGAGAAGGTAACTCTGTCAAGGATTTGTTTTTAAAAATTAAGGCCTTTTATCGACTTAGAATCTTGGTTAAGTTTTTAGTACCAGTCCACTTTTTGACTGAACTGTTTGAGATATTAATTTGAAAGTTGGAATACTTGTTTACAATCATGATTCCCAAACATGTCCAGGAGAAGGTAATTCTGTCAAAGATTTTATTTGAATTATGGCCCTTAACTGTCAATGTTTTGTATTATAGGCAAGCACTAAAAAACTTAAAAAATCTAAAAAAATTCATTCCTATCCACTTGTTCACTTTACCATAAATTATGTCATAATAAAATAATTCTTCACTAAATATCTTAATGCTCATGGCCATTGTTCACTTTAAAAATACAGAGATTCTTGTATTGCCTTTTACTGCAAAAACTTTTTTTATTGGCAAGCAATAAAAAAGTCGAGCGCGCTGTCTTACGGACAGCTCTTGTTTCTTTCCATATAACTTTTGTCAATAAGGAATTCTTCGACTATAATTTCTTATTGAAAATTTTGACCCGATTTGTATTATTTATATCTTACTTATCTTACTTAAGATACATATATATGATTTGTAGATTATAAGTCTAATGAAGAGATTTGCCTATTTGGCACAATTATTTATTACATGTTAACAGTTAGGAAAGTGTTTGACTGATAAAAGGCAAAAAAACTAGAGTTTTATTGCATTTGAAAGAGGAGATTTACACAGTAAAGCAAATATTTACTAAGCATGTATATAATATTACACCATATTGAAAGAACAAAAAAAAATCCTTACCTAGTTTCAAGATTTAAACGCAAGGCCATATTTTAAAGTAAAAAAAAAAAAAAAAAAATATATATATATATATAAATTAGTTTATACAGTAATTATACAGTATAATTATACATGAGATAAATGCAGAAGTGTGGTTACAGTTTTCTTGAAACCAGTAATGTTAGCAGCTTTATGTATTATAACAAAGTACATGTAATGCCAACATAAATGAGCCAATCAGACCAGCCTATACTTATTATACTGATGTTGATAATACTGTTAACTGCTAAAATTAGTATATGAATATTAAATTTATTAACCTATTGACAAACTGTTTTAGTCTCAAGGCAGTACAATTAAGGTCTTCAAAAAGTTTCAGCATGGATAGAATTTAAGCATATAATATTAACTGTATGTTTATATATTTTCAGAGTACCCACCAACCTCTTTCACAGATTCTCCGACCGCCGGAAATCCATTTCCAGAAGGTGCACCAAAGTTTCTCTTGTGTAGAACGAATAGTAATCCCATCCCAAAGTACCGTTGGTTAAAAGATGGATCGTATATCACCAATGCGAGTGCGAGCACATATTCTTACCGGATCAACCAGATCAGCCGGTCTGATGCTGGAAGGTACCGGTGTGAAGCAAGCAACCCCCTTGGTGCCGTGCTGAGTTCACCAGCTGATATTAAAGTGGCATGTACGTACAAATGTATAGTGAAACCTTTCATAGACACTGAAGGGTTTAACAATTTTATTTTATCAAATACAAATTTCATTAGTTATTACTGAGACATCATACAGATTCCACTTCTAATGACAGGAAAGATTATGATGTTCTGAGTGTAGATAGGATTTGAATTTTAACCTGTAAAATGAGAGTGACCCTTAATTAATAAGTCCAGTCAATACTATCTATCTCCTTCAATATTGAACAGTTCCATTCTCAAAGTATGGCAAGTTCATTTTACAATTTAGTGGGATAATGCTTTCCTTGAACTTACCCTGGCGTTCCTTCCTTACAGCATAAATGCTTATTCATAGACACTTCTTATTTTAATTGATACAACAATCTTTGATAAAGAATGTACACTATAGTTCACTCTGATTTGCAGTTTTTAACAATTTGTTCATGGTGAAGGGTTTTGCAAGTTTTTTGTGTTATGAAAACATTTTTAGATATGATTTAATTCTACAATGCATAACAATAGTGAAATAATGATGATGAATACAAATGTATGAGGATGAATATGATGATGAAGAAGATGATTATTGATAGTTATGGTGATGATAGTAATGATAATGATAAAAGTTATGATGATTACTATGTGGATGATAATGAAGAATTTTATTGATATCAAATCCTAATGTATTATTCTTGTTTCAGATATGGGCCCGTTCACTGGACAAGGACTTCGGTATACCGTCAGAACTAATGTCAGTAAAGCCATTGTGATAGAAGTACCAAATATAGACAGTTATCCACCGCCAATAATTACATGGTATCATACTAATCAACCAATGAATACAGAGGGATCTAAATATCAAGTGACACTAAATGGGTCCCTGGTGCTATTAGATAGGGGAATTGGTGACAATGCAAATTATTATAAAGTTGAAGCATTAAATGGAAATACAAACACATTGGAGCAGGGACCGAACTATGATGTCATTATTCAAGGTAATTGTTTTGAATGTTCCTTTGGTTTTCTATAATATTTGATGTCGGAAAATTTCATTGCTGAGTTGAATGTTTAAGACTGTTGGAGGTTTGAGACTTAAAATTAAGATTGACGGAGAATTGTTGACAACGTGGTGGCTTTCACTATATTAACATAGTGTTTGTACAATATTTTCTACAACCAATAAATGATTATATCAGATATAAAAGTTTTATAAGTAGCTTGAAAGTGAAGTTTAAATTATTTGTGACATTATGTTTTCAGGAAGTTCGACAGGGCGTCATGGACCAACACTTGTCGTGGGATCTCAGGATAAAATAGCATATGAGGATCAAGATGCTAAGATTGACTTTGAATGTATATTTAATGCAAGGTATGTTTTAATTATTAAATTATCATTAACATTTCAATCAGTCTTAAGATAATGAGAATTGTACAATAGCCCACATAGTTTGATTTCTAAGAAAATAATTATAGCAGTTAGACTTTATTTCTAATATGCCTGTGTGATCCATGGACAAAATCTCAAGTTGGGTGGTGGGCAGGGTGTTATGTTTTAGGAAAGTAGGCAGACTGTAGTGAAAGCAAAGCAAATTTTCAATTTGTAAGAATAGTGCAGTCCTGTGAATTTGGGTCTGCTTTGTACCTCATTGAAATGGTTACGAAATTTGCTAGAATACATAATTTTGTAAAGTGCAGACTTTTAGGGGCATAGCTAGTTTAAAATTGATAGCACTGACAATTTACAGGGAGTAAGTGTGACCCTGCTGCTAGGCCTCCTTTCAGGGTTAGTGCAGAGCTTATCAAGATGGCCAATGGGCAAAGCCTCTGAAAGCTCCATGATTTTCATCATTTATAGAGTTAGAAGTTAAGAATTTTCATGTCAATTTTAAGTCACAAAAATAAAGATCTGATCATTTACTGAGATATATGTATAAATTTGTATGCTATTTCATAGAAACTTATTTCTATATATTGTATGGTTGGTGACTTTAAGGAGAAGGGGGTGATGTTTGGGGCGCCCTCTCTTGAATCTGCTAGTGTGAACATATCTGTTGTTGATTACAAAAGTAAATTTCCAAGTTTTAAGAAGGGTTTGTCTGATCCACAATGAAATTATTTGTTTTGGACATATGATTTGTATTATCTATTTCATAATGGAGTTCAGTTATTTCATTCTTTTTTATCTATTTACCTCATTTTTAATAGTTTTATTAAAGAAATTTTTAATACAGTCATATTGTTCTTTAATATCAATAGCTCAATCATCTCATTTAAATGTTTATTTTATTTTATTTTACAGCCCAGTGGAAGAGTTACAAATTTCTTGGTTTAAGGTAACTGATGTCAGAAACCAGCTTCTGGCTAACAACAAATATTTGATATCCTCGATTGGTCAGCGGTCACTGACCATTGTGAATCCAAAACAGTCCGACAATGGAATTTACGAGTGTGAAGCCTTTCTATCAGGGTTTCAACGAGTCTCTGCCAGTGCAAACCTTACAGTTTATGGTAACAAAATATTTCATGAATCATTACATTACATAATATCTGGTGTGAATATTGGACTGTCATTCATGTACAAATATGTTAAGGATCGTAAATCATCTAGGTAATGTTTTAAAGTAGAAATCACACTTTAGACTTGTTCATTTTGTTTTTATGATATGTTCAAATTTTATATTTAGAAATACTAAGAAGTGCTATACAGTTTCTTTAAATGTTAAATGAACATTTTTTGAATTCATATAGATATGTTACGATTTAAACTCTGTAATTATTGTTTGCACATTATCTTATTCTCTTTAGACATATACAGTTAGAATTTTCTGAATTTCAATAAACTTTTTACAAAACGAAAAAAATTACCCAAAGATAAACATGCTATATCTTTAATGATATCAAGATAGACTGGTGTAAGATATTTACTAAGTAGTTACCTGAACGGCGGGTTGAGAACCATAAAAATACAAAAATAGACTAGAGAGGTATATGATTGACATCGATAATGTAGAAAGATGTGAAAACAGACTACTGTCAGCAAAATTATTTGATGTTGAAAAAATGGTTAAAAACATTATAATGAACAAGCACACATTCAAAGTAATTTATCATTTTATTACATCAATATTTTTTACTGAAATTGTTTTAAGAGATTTTAAATTAATGTTACAGTTGCTTTTTTCATCATTTGTTATTCATCATTATCTTATCCCAGGCTTAATTATCTACATTTTCATCACTGTATACTGTTTTGTCTCCATTGACCATGTGGTTGTTCTTTATATCTCAAAAGTGTTAACATTATGATTATCATTTATACCATAATTGATCAGATTTGTTACATTGTGACATATTTTTTTACAGTGAAGCCAAAATGGACCAATCATATTCCAGAGACTATTGCCAAAGATTTTGGTCAGACCGTCACCATTAACTGTACAGCCAGTGGATTTCCTACACCTACAGTACATTGGTACTTCAATGCACAAGAACTTGGCAAAGATTTTAACTCCAGGTATAAATGTTATATCATTGTGACAGTTATATTAGTTATTTACAGTCAAGTCATAAATTTAGTTAGGTTAATATCACTCCATAATCCTAGGTTAAAGTGTAAACTTGTTGTATCTATGTCCACGTAACACATGGGTTACAACAGTGTTGCACCAGGTCCCTTCAGTAAAAGCTGAATCAAGGATGACATTTGATGAATTAAACAAGAAAAAAGATAAATGCAGTTTTTGAAAATAATTGTATCTCTGTATTCATGAGAAAAAAAGATTCATCTTTATAAATTTCATTGTGTTTTTTTACCATTTGCTGATTGCATGTTTTGGTCAAGATTTGATCAAACTTACAATAATAGTTTTGGTTATATAAGAATAAATGCATTTAATGTGTTGTTCATTGTAAAAAATTCCTGTTAAATATGATAGACTGCCTACTTTTGTAAGTTTTAGTGACAGAGTTATTGAACTTGTCCACATCTTACCACTTTCTGTTAGATACAATGTATGCTCCAATTCAAGCTGAAATATTTTATGGATATTACTATAAATGTATTCAATGTAGTCAAGTTTGAAAAACTATTAACCCATTACTTCATATACACGCCTTTTAACGCCTTTTTCACCCCCCCCCCCCCTTTTTGTTGTCTCAAATGATAAAAAAATGCCTTATTTAGGCCCCAAACACTTGTTTTTGTTTGAGAAATGTTGTTAAAAAAGTGACCTCTTTTTCGGCGCGGCCCCCCAACCAAAAGATACATCAGGGGGTTGGCAGAAGGGGGATGTGCCCCCTTCTGTTTGGGGGGTTTGAAGGGGGGCGGAGTCCCCCTCATTGCCAAGAAAAATTTTGGACTTGTGAGAGGCTGTAAATGACCCCAGATTGATCATAAGGTAACGTGTAACCAACGCTGAAAAGCATTTGACTCTATCTCAATCCATTGAGAAAGTGCAGCACTTTGAAATCAATTTTGATGGAAAAAATCAACGCAAAATAGTGATTTTTGGCAATTTTGAGATGTCCCCTCGTTGCCATGGTAACAGAAAATTTAAGCCTGAGCATGTTGTTGCAAGTGCAATGGTCCAGTCAACATTTGTGCCAAGTTTGATTAGTGTTGAAGCAGTTTTTATAGTATTATAGCAATTTGAACTTGTAACGGGAGACTTTTCAATGAAAACAGCCATTTTTCACAAAATGCTCATGAAGTAATGGGTTAATGAAAAAAAAAAAAAATCTACAAAACAACAATTTTTCTTCAAATTTATATGACAGGCCATGTTTAAACATGAAAAAACGCGATTTAGGGTAATTTCAAGTATTTTCATCATTTTCAGTTAACCCATTACTTCATATACACGCCTTTTAACGCCTTTTTCACCCCCCCCCCTTTTTGTTGTCTCAAATGATAAAAAAATGCCTTATTTAGGCCCCAAACACTTGTTTTTGTTTGAGAAATGTTGTTAAAAAAAGTGACCTCTTTTTCGGCGCGGCCCCCAACCAAAAGATACATCAGGGGGTTGCCAGAAGGGGGATGTGCCCCCTTCTGTTTGGGGGGTTTGAAGGGGGCGGAGTCCCCCTCATCGCCAAGAAAAATTTTGGACTTGTGAGAGGCTGTAAATGACCCCAGATTGGTCATAAGGTAATGTGTAACCAACGCTGAAAAGCATTTGACTCTATCTCAATCCATTGAGAAAGTGCAGCACTTTGAAATCAATTTTGATGGAAAAAATCAACGCAAAATAGTGATTTTTGGCAATTTTGAGATGTCCCCTCGTTGCCATGGTAACAGAAAATTTAAGCCTGAGCATGTTGTTGCAAGTGCAATGGTCCAGTCAACATTTGTGCCAAGTTTGATTAGTGTTGAAGCAGTTTTTATAGTATTATAGCAATTTGAACTTGTAACGGGAGACTTTTCAATGAAAACAGCCATTTTTCACGAAATGCTCATGAAGTAATGGGTTAATGAAAAAAATAAAAAAATCTACAAAACAACAATTTTTCTTCAAATTTATATGACAGGCCATGTTTAAACATGAAAAAACGCGATTTAGGGTAATTTCAAGTATTTTCATCATTTTCAGTTAACCCATTACTTCATATACACGCCTTTTAACGCCTTTTTCACCCCCCCCCCTTTTTGTTGTCTCAAATGATGAAAAAATGCCTTATTTAGGCCCCAAACACTTGTTTTTGTTTGAGAAATGTTGTTAAAAAAAGTGACCTCTTTTTCGGCGCGGCCCCCAACCAAAAGATACATCAGGGGGTTGCCAGAAGGGGGATGTGCCCCTTCTGTTTGGGGGTTTGAAGGGGGCGGAGTCCCCCTCATCGCCAAGAAAAATTTTGGACTTGTGAGAGGCTGTAAATGACCCCAGATTGATCATAAGGTAACGTGTAACCAACGCTGAAAAGCATTTGACTCTATCTCAATCCATTGAGAAAGTGCAGCACTTTGAAATCAATTTTGATGGAAAAAATCAACGCAAAATAGTGATTTTTGGCAATTTTGAGATGTCCCCTCGTTGCCATGGTAACAGAAAATTTAAGCCTGAGCATGTTGTTGCAAGTGCAATGGTCCAGTCAACATTTGTGCCAAGTTTGATTAGTGTTGAAGCAGTTTTTATAGTATTATAGCAATTTGAACTTGTAACGGGAGACTTTTCAATGAAAACAGCCATTTTTCACAAAATGCTCATGAAGTAATGGGTTAATGAAAAAAATAAAAAAAATTACAAAACAACAATTTTTCTTCAAATTTTTATGACAGGCCATGTTTAAACATGAAAAAACGCGATTTAGGGTAATTTCAAGTATTTTCATCATTTTCAGTTAACCCATTACTTCATATACACGCCTTTTAACGCCTTTTTCACCCCCCCCCCCTTTTTTGTTGTCTCAAATGATGAAAAAATGCCTTATTTAGGCCCCAAACACTTGTTTTTGTTTGAGAAATGTTGTTAAAAAAGTGACCTCTTTTTCGGCGCGGCCCCCCAACCAAAAGATACATCAGGGGGTTGCCAGAAGGGGGATGTGCCCCCTTCTGTTTGGGGGGTTTGAAGGGGGGCGGAGTCCCCCTCATCGCCAAGAAAAATTTTGGACTTGTGAGAGGCTGTAAATGACCCCAGATTGATCATAAGGTAACGTGTAACCAACGCTGAAAAGCATTTGACTCTATCTCAATCCATTGAGAAAGTGCAGCACTTTGAAATCAATTTTGATGGAAAAAATCAACGCAAAATAGTGATTTTTGGCAATTTTGAGATGTCCCCTCGTTGCCATGGTAACAGAAAATTTTAGCCTGAGCATGTTGTTGCAAGTGCAATGGTCCAGTCAACATTTGTGCCAAGTTTGATTAGTGTTGAATCAGTTTTTATAGTATTATAGCAATTTGAACTTGTAACGGGAGACTTTTCAATGAAAACAGCCATTTTTCACAAAATGCTCATGAAGTAATGGGTTAATGAAAAAAAAAAAAAAAATCTACAAAACAACAGTTTTTCTTCAAAATTATATGACAGGCCATGTTTAAACATGAAAAAACGCGATTTAGGGTAATTTCAAGTATTTTCATCATTTTCAGTTAACCCATTACTTCATATACACGCCTTTTAACGCCTTTTTCACCCCCCCCCCCTTTTTGTTGTCTCAAATGATGAAAAAATGCCTTATTTAGGCCCCAAACACTTGTTTTTGTTTGAGAAATGTTGTTAAAAAAAGTGACCTCTTTTTCGGCGCGGCCCCCCAACCAAAAGATACATCAGGGGGTTGCCAGAAGGGGGATGTGCCCCCTTCTGTTTGGGGGGTTTGAAGGGGGGCGGAGTCCCCCTCATCGCCAAGAAAAATTTTGGACTTGTGAGAGGCTGTAAATGACCCCAGATTGATCATAAGGTAACGTGTAACCAACGCTGAAAAGCATTTGACTCTATCTCAATCCATTGAGAAAGTGCAGCACTTTGAAATCAATTTTGATGGAAAAAATCAACGCAAAATAGTGATTTTTGGCAATTTTGAGATGTCCCCTCGTTGCCATGGTAACAGAAAATTTAAGCCTGAGCATGTTGTTGCAAGTGCAATGGTCCAGTCAACATTTGTGCCAAGTTTGATTAGTGTTGAAGCAGTTTTTATAGTATTATAGCAATTTGAACTTGTAACGGGAGACTTTTCAATGAAAACAGCCATTTTTCACAAAATGCTCATGAAGTAATGGGTTAATGAAAAAAATAAAAAAATCTACAAAACAACAATTTTTCTTCAAATTTATATGACAGGCCATGTTTAAACATGAAAAAACGCGATTTAGGGTAATTTCAAGTATTTTCATCATTTTCAGTTAACCCATTACTTCATATACACGCCTTTTAACGCCTTTTTCACCCCCCCCCCCCCCTTTTTTGTTGTCTCAAATGATGAAAAAATGCCTTATTTAGGCCCCAAACACTTGTTTTTGTTTGAGAAATGTTGTTAAAAAAAGTGACCTCTTTTTCGGCGCGGCCCCCCAACCAAAAGATACATCAGGGGGTTGCCAGAAGGGGGATGTGCCCCCTTCTGTTTGGGGGGTTTGAAGGGGGGCGGAGTCCCCCTCATCGCCAAGAAAAATTTTGGACTTGTGAGAGGCTGTAAATGACCCCAGATTGATCATAAGGTAACGTGTAACCAACGCTGAAAAGCATTTGACTCTATCTCAATCCATTGAGAAAGTGCAGCACTTTGAAATCAATTTTGATGGAAAAAATCAACGCAAAATAGTGATTTTTGGCAATTTTGAGATGTCCCCTCGTTGCCATGGTAACAGAAAATTTAAGCCTGAGCATGTTGTTGCAAGTGCAATGGTCCAGTCAACATTTGTGCCAAGTTTGATTAGTGTTGAAGCAGTTTTTATAGTATTATAGCAATTTGAACTTGTAACGGGAGACTTTTCAATGAAAACAGCCATTTTTCACAAAATGCTCATGAAGTAATGGGTTAACAGTGAATAGGCAAGGATCTATCAGCTAGTGGCTGAGTGGTTAACACTTTCAACTAGTATTCTGGCAGCATGGGTTCAATCCTGTCCTGGGGCAAGCTATGGCTTCCTTTACCAAGAAAATTCACACTCATTGTTTAGTACTGGTTGGTCTATTGAATGGATACAGAAGTTTTGCTAAAAGCTTGTAGCTTCCCATATAATCCAAAATAGTTTACAAGGATCTACTGATGGTTGATGACCATATTAATTTTGATATTGATACCTAGTTAAAAAAAAAACAAACTCATTTATGACTTAATTGTCATCAGACTTGGTCAGGGTGCTTGTCTAGGTAATTTGCTCTGATGAGTTGGAACATGTATCATCTTGGATGAAAAACTAGGTCACAGTAGCTAAAAACTGAAAAACCTTGTTCACACTCTAGTGGCTACTGTTTTGACCCAAATATCTTGGAAATCGGTCTGAAAGTTTGCTTTGATAATTTCTAGGTCAAGTTAGAATATGGGTCACCTGGGTTATAAGATAGGTCATACTGCTTGAATATGGAAAAACCTTGTTAACACCTGTCTGCAGAAAAATATATATATGTAATGGCATGTGCTAATTTCTTGTTTTACAGTAGCTACACATTACATCCGAATGGTTCACTGACAGTTAGTCAGTTAGACCTAGAACACGATGGAGTATACCAATGTTTTCTACGTAACGCTGCAGGGGAAACGGCAAAAGCCACCTGGCTTAAAGGTAAATATAATATTTTTGTCTGTATTTCCTGTCTAAAGGCCTTAAGTGGTTAGTGTAACTGGTCATTACTCCAGTAGTGTTCTTCAGAGCTTGTATTTTCGTATGTTGTATATCAAACTTTATAAAGTAAATATTACTTGACTTGACAGAATGATTGCTGCTGTAAATATTAAGATTTTTGCAAAATTGCATCTTAAGCTCACCAGAGCTTGCTCAGGGTGATATTTTAGGATTGTTGAATGTGCGTTGTCGGTTGTCTGTCGTCTGTTGTCTTTTTTTCCATCCACATTTGTTCCATAACACTCTAGCGATCACTTTTATGCCTCAATCATCATCAGACTTTGTCAGGATGTCTAGGTTATTGCTCTGATGAGTTTGAACATGGGTCATTTTGAATGAAAAACTAGGTCACAGGAGCTAAAAATAGAAAAATGTCGTGAACACTTTACTGGCTACTGTTTTGATCCAGATATCCTGGAAATTAGTCTGAAAGTTTGTTTTGATGATTTCTAGTTTAAGTTTAAATATGGGTCACCTGGGATCAAAAACTAGGGTCACACCCCCAAATATGGAAAAACCTTGTTAACACTCTAGTGGTCACATTTTTTACTCAATTGTCATCAGACTTGGTCAGGATGCTTTTCTAGGTAATTGCTCGGATGAGTTTGAAAATGGGTTATCTTGGATGAAAAACTAGGTCACAGGAGCTAAAAATAGAAAGATCTTGGTCACACTCTAGTGGCTACTGTTTTGATCCAAATATCCTGGAAATTGGTCTGAAAGTTTGTTTTGATGATTTTTAGGTCATGTTCGAATATGGGTCACCTGGGGTCAAAAATAGGTCACATTGCTCAAATATGGAAAACACTTATTAACACTCAAGTACTCAACTGTCATGAAACTTGGTCAGGATGCTTGTCTAGGTAATTGCTTGGATGAGTTTGATTGGTCAAGTGAGCTCTCTCTAGGGCCATCTTGACCCTCTTGTTGATCATATTTGGGAAATTAATCATCTCACTTTTAGTTTGTTAATGTTTGTACTAGTCTACAGGATGCTTAATTAATGTTTTAAAAGGGAAAGGTTTTTTACTGGGGTTTTTGTGATTAAACTATCCCCGCCAGTTTAGAAAAACAATGGTCCTTACAATTAAAATAAATTTTTTTTATTTATAATGTATATTTTTTATAACCCTGGAAAAAGTTTTCCCCCCCTAAAAAGATCACAGCCCCCGGGCTGATATAAAAAAATCCTGGAAAGGGGGCGGGTGGCCCGGTTTACATGTGAGACTTTAAAAGGTTTCTCCTTTAAAACCTTTTAGTTACCCCGGAAAAAAAAGGGGAAAAAAATTATAATTTTTTTAAATTGGGTTAAAAAGTAAAAAAAAATTTTTATTTTTAGTTTCTTTTAGAAGTAACATTGGGGGTTAGTTTACATAAAAACTTTTCCATATAAAACAAACCTAAATTGTTTGGTCAGGTTTAAAAAACCAGAAACAATGTTTTTTCACCTAGGAGTTATAGGATTCAGGGCCAGTTATGATTATCATTGCAGACTGCTAATGGCTGAGTGTTGTCAGTACTAGACACTATTTCCTTTAATAACAAAGAAAGTCTTTTGTAAATAATTCTGTTTGATTTGCCTATTTCATCAATACTAAAAGTGGCTCTTTTTTATGAAGTGAATAAATCATTAAGGTGTAAATGATTTAAGAAATACCTAAATACTATTTTGTATCCTTAAATCTTATCAAAATGTAATTAACAGGTATATTTTCCCTTCCTGATAGTGTTTTAAAATGTAAATGTAAAAAATGAGTGAAAGGCAAGTCATTGTAAATAAACGCTACATGTTTCAGTGCAACAGTTGAGGTGACACTTAATTCATTTCAGATTTCTAAAGAATAATGGCTTCATCATTTAAGCAAGGAATCACTAAGTATTAAATTGTATTTTATTGACAGGTTTGAATTTCTTTTTGAAATCTTATTCTTACAGAAATATCTGGAGGAGGCAGTGTAGATATCACAGACTCTGGACGGTTCCAGGTCCTGGAACGTGGAGAGCTGCTCATAGTGTCCACAGAGAGAGGAGATTCTGGAATATATATCTGCAACTCTTCGAACAGTCAAGGTCACATCTCTGCATCAGCCTCACTCTCAGTCTATGGTAAGTTCCTGTTTGGTATCAGAAGAACAGTTGTACTAACAATTCAGCTTTTTAGCTCACCTGTCACTTTGTGACAGGGTGAGCTTTTGTGATCGCTTTTCGTCCGGCGTCCGTCCGGCCAGCATCCGTAAACTTTTACTTTAAATGACATCTCCTCATAAACCACTAAGCCAATTTCATCCAAACTTCACAGGAATGTTCCTTTGGTGGTTACCTTTGAAAATTGTTCAAAGAATTGAATTCCATGCAGAACTCTGGTTGCCATGGCAACCAAAAGAAAAAAACTTTAAATATCTTCTTCTAAAAAACCCAAAGAGCTAGAGCTTAGATATTTGGCATGAAACATCTTCTAGTGAGTGTCTACCAAGTTTGTTCAAATAAAAGCCCTGGGGTTAAAATTGGCCCTGCCCCAGGGGGTCATTGATTTTCCCTATATGTATATAGTTATTACTTAAAAAATCTTCTTTTATAGAACCCCAAGAGCTAGAGCTAAGATATTTAGCATGAAACATCTTCTAATGGGTGTCTACCAAGTTTGTTCAAATAAAAACCCTAAGGTCAAAATTGGCCCCACCCAGGGGGTCATTGATTTTTCCTATATGCATATAATAAAAACTTAGAAATCTTCTTTTAAAGAACCCAAAGAGCTAGAGCTAAGATATTAAGCATGAAACATTTTCTAATGGATGTCTACCAAGTTTGTTCAAATAAGAGCCCTTGGGTCAAATTTGGCCCCGCCCCAGGGGGTCATTGATTTTCCCTATATGAATAGAGTAAAAACTTAAAAATCTTCTTTTCAAGAACCCAAAGAGCTAGAGCTAAGATATTTAGCGTGAAACATCTTTTAATGGGTGTCTACCAAGTTTGTTCAAATAAGAGCCCTGGGGTCAAAATTGGCCCCGCCCCAGGGGGTCATTGATTTTCCCTATATGAATATAGTTAAAACTTAAAAATCTTCTTTTAAAGAACCCAAAGAGCTAGAGCTAAGATATTTAGCATGAAACATTTTCTAATGGATGTCTACCAAGTTTGTTCAAATAAGAGCCCTGGGGTTAAAATTGGCACTGCCCTGGGGGACATTAATTTTCCTTATATGTGTATAGCAAAAACTTAAAAATCTTCTTCGAAAAAAACGGACCAGCTAGAGGTTAGATGATAAGCATGAAACATCTTCTATTAAGTGTCTATAAAGATTGTTCAAATAAATCTGTAGGGTCAAAACCTGCCCCAGGGGTGTCATTGTTTTTAAATATATGTGTAAAACTTTTAACTGGCCCCACTCTGGGGGGGGGGGGGGGTATATACAGGTGAGCGACTTCAGGGCCATCATGGCCCTCTTGTCTTTGAAGTCTTGGAAGATTTCTTTTAGATTTAATTTTTCTGAAGCTTTATTTTAAATATATTTATTGTAGGACAAATGTGAAGAAAACTTGATGCTCATTTTAAACACCGTAGAGTTTGCTTCCTGGAACTTATCAGTGCTGATGAAAACTAACAAGTATTGATGTATTATGGTGAAACATGGTCATGATCTCAGTATGACTCAAAAACATCATCCCTGCATTGAAAGGCAGACATCTTAAAGGAAAGCAACCGCTCTCCTCAATGCTTTGACCCATGAGGCCCAATTTGTATTAAAGCAGTCTTGAGAATATAAAAGGTTTTAAATAAAGAATGTGTTGCCGCATGGCCAAGCGGTAAGCATGCCAGACAAGTAACTCAAGGTCATAATAGCAGATTTAAACCCTGAGAGGGGGAGCCGTTATTTCCTTGAGCAAAAAACATTATACTCTTTGCTCGGTACTGGTTAGTTCCAACAACAGTTTATAAAGTTTCTCTTTAAGCTGAAAGCTTCCTACACAGTTGAACTAAAAAAAATTCTGTAATGAAAAATTCAAATGTGTTTATTTTTGTTCTAAACAGTGAGAACACAGATCATTCGTCCACCTCAAGATCAAAGGATTATTAAAGGATCTACTGCCACATTTTACTGTGGAGTTTCACACGATCCAAACATTCAGGTAACCTGGAAATGGACTCACCAAATGTTACACACGGAAACAATCTTAGAGATTACCTCCGATGGGAGACGGAACATTGCTGCTGACGGCACTCTGACCATTAATGGCATAAATAATATTGATATAGGGTCCTACACATGTCATGTGACATCCACAGGAGGAAATGACACCAAATCTGTGTCACTCACAGTCATTGGTATGTGTTTTTTGACACTTTTTCTTTATTTGTTGTATCAAAAGTGCAGTGAATATCACATATATATTTGTTACTTCATAAACGTAAAGATTTGATGTTTGGTGCTAGATGGGTATTTTAAGGATTTATGTGGTCTTCAAGCATGTGTAACATATTTTATGTACTTTATTAACCCTTAGTCTGCTGATGACAACTGATTCTACTCATTCGACTATTGCATACAAAGCTCAGTCTATCTTTTAAAAATTTTAGGGTTTAGAATTTTGTATTTGTCAACAGAATGATATCGCATTGTCACATAAGACAAAAGTCACTTAAAACAAGTGATAGCAGTGGCAAGATAGACTGTATTTTCAAAACTATTTCTTCTGTGTTTTTCAGAGTTACCACAAGCTCCAGTGATAACATCTGTGGTACTACATCCCAACGATGTGAGAGCAGTTATTGTTAGATGGAACCCAGGTTATGATGGTAACACAGCCATTACAAAGTTCAGTGTCCAGTACAAGGAGGTTCCTTTCGGAAATGAAGGTTTGTAAATGATCTTTCTTTAGACATATTATTTTGTAACTAAAATTGAAAGTTGTATATTTGAGTCACCCTCTGAAGATTGGCAAAGAGTCACTAAGTTTATGCCACATTCCCCTAAATTCTATGGGTTTCAAATCACAATTTAGACTTTGAATTCTTTTATGGAAGAAAGCAACAAAGCAATTCTATGGAAAGTAGGGGCTTCTAATTTTGTGTCTGCTCATGCCTGAAATAATGCACTGAGGGGCACTTCGAGTCTGTCTTCACATGTAATACCGATTATGTTTACATAAAAATAATTCAAGTCAATTTGGGCGTGAATAATTGGGTTTTTCTTAGTGCTATTTATAGCACATAATCCGTCTTGTTCTGTTATCATTACTGGGGTCGGGTATAAATACCCATCACCAGATGTACACCGAAACACCAAATATTGGAAGTTGCCATATGACCTTAACATTGCAAGTGTTACTCAAAACTCAGTTTTAAAATAAAAAAATGTGAACATGTTTATTTGGGTCAGTAATTTTGAAATTGAGTCAATAATTATTCATGTAGAGTTTTCAGTTTATACAATTTCTTATATAATTGCCATATATTTATCTGTACACCAGGAGCTGACAATGATCTAGGTTGGATAACTTCTGACGCTGACATTAATCCTGATGTACGAGAAGCTATGGTAACGGGTCTTCGGCCTGCAAGATATTACCAGTTCCGAGTGTTTGCCTCAAATGAGGTGGGGGAGGGTTTACCTAGTGCCCGTAGACCTGATCCAGCCCTTGAAATGCCCCAACAACGTAAGTTTGTTTTTGTTTACTTGAGTTGAGTTTCTTCTTGACTAACAGAAGATTGGGATTTTTTTCTTGAAGATTGCTCAACATACTGAGAATCTCTTGTTGGTTCTTTAGAGTGAAGAGTTAATAAGGATCATACACAGGGCCTCAGTTTAAAGGTTCATCTAATAGAAATTAGGGATTAAACTAAAATCTCAGGGCCTCAGTTTAAAGGTTCATCCAATAGAAATCAGGGATTAAACTAAAATCTCTAGATTTGATAGACAGTTTACCTGGAGAAAAAAATGTTCATTTTAAGTTTAATAAGGATTTTTTAAAAATTTAATTCTTTATGTTACAATTGGAATTTATGCAAACGATTATGAAATCAACCTAATTATTTGTTTATTAAAAATGATTCATGTGTTGTTTTTTTACTTTATGATAAAATTTATTTTTACAGTTAATGGAAAAAAAAATGTTCTGATATTGAAATGATTGTGTAAATTTCTATGTTTTACAATACTCTTATATTTTACAGCTCCCAGTAGTCCTCCAAAGGGATTTTTTGGAATGCCTAGCACAAATACTTCAGTGATCCTGGGTTGGCAGCCTCCAGATGAAGATACATGGAATGGTCCACTACAAGGGTACACTATACAGTACAAGTTAGCTGGTTATCCAAACAGCACATTTCAGAGGCAGACGGTCACACTGATGAGTGGGAATCCACGATATGAGCTCCGAGGTTTGGCATATTTCCAGGAGTATGAGATTCAGATAGCTGCCTATAATATCGAGGGTATTGGTGTATTCAGTAGTCTGATTCATGTAAGTTAATATGTTAAGTAAATTTTAAATATCTAAGGCCTTTTTAGCTCGACTATTCGATAAGAATAAGTAGAGCTATTGCAGTCACCCGAGCGTCGGCGTAACCACATAATTATGTTAAAGTTTTTGTAATAGTTCAAATATTTTCAAAGTCCATTGACATATGGCTTTGAAACTTTGCACACTTGTTCACCATCATGACCCCAACCTGTAGACAGGAGGAGGTAACTCTATCAAGCATTTTGACAGAATTATGCCCCTTTTTCGACTTAGAATTTACGTAAAGTTTTTGTAATAGTTCAAATATTTTCAAAGTCCATAGACATATGGCTTTGAAACTTTGCACACTTGTTCACCATCATGACCCCAACCTGTAGACAGGAGGAGGTAACTCTATCAAGCATTTTGACAGAATTATGCCCCTTTTTCGACTTAAAATTTACGTTAAAGTTTTTGTAATAGTTTAAATATTTTCAAAGTCCATTGACATATGGCTTTGAAACTTTGCACACTTGTTCAACATCATGACCCCAACCTGTAAACAGGAGGAGGTAACTCTATCAAGCATTTTGTTTACTATCAAGCACTAAGCATAGTCGAGCGTTGCTGTCCAACTAACAGCTCTTGTTAAATAATAAAAACATTTAAATACAAATATTGTCAGCTTATATCTTATCCTTCGGTCCTTTACTCTCGGGCTGATTGGATACATTTGTTGTATAGATTAGTAGTTTCAAATCAAAATCTATGCCAAGGGGAGACAATTTTCCATATTAGGAAGCTTAAAGGTTTGGTTAATCAACTTTGTATGTTAGAATGAGATATTAACCATGTATTTCTAATACAAGATGAATCATGCTTAAGTATTCATACAAATATTTTTCTATTCTTAGAACTTCATGAATACATTGTACGATACCTGTAGTGGGTCAGCATATGTGAAAAAAACAATCACTGATTTGCCAAAACATACCTCATATAAAAAATTATAGTTATTTTAAATACGAAATGAAAGATTAGTTGCCAAGAGACAAAAAATATTATTTAAATCGAACATTCTGTTACTATAGGTAATGACACTGGAAGGTCACCCGACTGCCCCACCAGAAAATCTAGAGGCTGTAGCATTAAATTCCACTGCTGTAACAGTTAAATGGACACCACCAAACCAACAGTTTATCAATGGGAGAAATTTAGGTTACAAGGTGCTAGGGAAGAGACTGAATGATATGCCGACAGAATTTGTTGTTGTTGTAGAACAGGATCAATCTAATCCTACAGGTGTACAGCAAACAGTCCTTCGACGGTATGTATCTTACATTATAAAGTCAACTTGTCTTTGACCCTAGGTTCTTTTTTATTTACTTTACATCTTATTTGTAAGTTTAATATATTATTCTTGTTTTTGTATAGAAATACTCAGTTGGTTGGTGTCTTAGAATCTACAAGCCACATCCAGCTAGCTTGTAGTAGAATAATAGTGGTTCTAATCGGGTGCCAGCTTATGCCTGAAGTAACACACAGAATTGTCCCGAAGGCCTTCCTTCACAAATAAAACTGGAAGGTCATCATATGATCTTAAAAGTGTGTGATTTATAACGAAACAAAACAAAATTATTACTCAAAAATTAAGCAGGCAGATCAAAAAATAAATTCTTGCTCACACTACTTAAATAGCAATTCTTTTTCCTTGATTTTATTGAAAAGACTTTTATCTTTTCATAAATTTAGTTTTGTTGATATTTAGTTGCTATGATATTTTACATATTACTTACAGGTTGCTGAAGTACACAGAGTACAATATCACAGTCTTGTGTTACACCAGTCAGGGAGATGGCCCAAAAGCTGTCCCTCAAACTGTCAGAACTGCAGAAGATGGTAAGTGATAAAAACTTTTATTACGTCAAGGTTGAACACTTTATATAAGTGCTAGTATTGATATGAACAAACCTATCCTATCAAATAGTGTCCAGCCTGTCCGTACATCACTGGAATCTATGTATCTCCTAGCTCCAGCAGGTAAGGGGATTTTGACCCCTGGTGTTGCTTTAAGTTTGTAACACCTGAGGTTTGCCAAAATCATCTTTCCTGTTTCGGCGCCATATGACCTAAATTGTGTTAGTGCACTGTAAAATCAAACAAAACAAACATCAGTAATAGTCCAGTCTGGCTGCAGTCTGACCAGGGTTAACACTATTTCCCTTACAGATTCTAAGAAGTAACAATTTAAGTCTTGATGCTGTAAATATAGTTAATATAGAAGTTGAGTTTTCATGGTTTGCTGAGATTTTTAAACTGAAAATGTAACTTTTGTTGTTGTATTTTAGTACCATCACAAGTGGGAAGTCTGACATTCAGTGACATTAGAGCTACATCCTTGAAAGTGAACTGGCAACCTCCCACTGAAATCAATGGAATTCTGTCAGGTATTGGATGCTAGTATTTTATCATTGTAATTATATCTTTGTGGAATTGAATTTTACTTAAAATTGTTAATGACATCTACCTTTTAAGTTCAGAAGTTACATTTTACTTCTTAAAATAGAAGTACATTGTATGTAATAAAGGAAGGTTGTTTATTCCTTATAACAAAAGTTTATGAAAATTTGATATTGTAATTTCACTATACATATTGCCTGATAGCTCAGTAAGAATCTAAAAATTAATTATTATGTTACTGTCTATAGATATATGACGTAGATAATTAAACACAGCAAAGCATTAAAATAATACAGAATTTGCTTGGAACAAAATTCAAACATACAGAAATACTGAAGGTTGCTATTGTTTTACATAGTCTTGTTTGCATGTACTAGTCTTACTTGTTCTTAAACGCAACAATCTAGAACTTTGTTAATTCAATTACAATAAGGATTTGATCTGAACTTTGTACACTCAAAAAATGAAAACTATGTTAGATGGGGTGCGATGTGGATTTGATATGAACCTTTTGACACTGAAAATGAGAACATGGTTATAAGGGGTGTGATATAGATTTGATATGAACTTTTTGGACTCTTGAAATGAAAAAGAGGCTAAATTTGTAAGATTGGATCCAGTAATGATTTCTATTAGAACATCACATGGTGCAAATCCTGAATGGGCATTGGTTGTTTTTTATAAGGTGTAAAATAAACTAATTTAGCATAGTCATTATGTCAGTTTATATTGTACACAATTGATTACACATTTCCACATCATAATGTGCATTTATAACACAGGTTACACATTGCTGTATCAGAAAAAGAATGACACTTCTACACAGCAGAGGGTTGACCTGCCTTCAAGTAATCTCACCTACACTGTGTTTAGCTTGCAACCCATGACCAAGTATACTATCTCAGTGTTTGCATCAACAAGTGTCGGACCAGGGCCATCAAGATCTGCAGACATAGAGTCAGGGGTTCCACCAGGTTGGTTAGTTAGTCATGTAGGCTCAACTCAAAGTTTTTTTCTCTTTTTTCATCATTACAGTTTTAATGCTAGATTTGCCTTAAGTCAAGTAAGTAATTGATATGTTATTTTTTGCCAACTTAAAAAAAGTAGACATCTATTGTGATATTTGTGGGCTTGGTTTGGAATGGAGAAAGAAGTGTTTCAAATATCAACTTTCTTTGGTAACTGATGAAAATGTAGTGGAGATTTTATTAATGAAATTCTACCTCCGTTGTTAGTGCCAAAAATCATTTCTAGTTGTAGAATGTTTTATTTTCAGGTGACAAAGTCATTGGGTGATCCCTGTTGCTCATATTTTGACTTGGTTGACTTGTTCTGTATTATTTTGACTCCCAATTTTCGAAATTCATATGTTGTCAAATAAACAATGAATAGAAATTACGAAGCAACAATGTGTTAATCATTATTTTATTAAATCACATGGATAAATTTATCATATGATCATAAACATTGTGTTTGATTAACAAATCAAAGCTACTTGATATAGGAAGAAATACTTGCATATTTTAGCTTACTCAATGAAATATTATTTCAGACACTGGCAGGTGATAACTTTGTTTGTTACCTATATTTTGTGGCAGGTTTAGGCCCAAGTACCAAGGAGATTAAGTTGATAAATTAAGATCTAAGATACTGCAAATTTTTAATAAACAGCGTCTTATATTTATGTAGGTCCATGTTTAAGCAAAAGTTTGTATATGTTATTTTTTTTTTACATACAAATTATTTTTTTAATTTTAAATTGTCAAATTTGTTTTGAAGAAGTTATTTCTCTTAGGGTGTGTCATGAACTCTTGTCTTTTTATTTCAGAGTTACCTTCCCCTCCGTACAATCTAGCTGTGTCTAATATTGATGCCAGGTCAGTGCTTTTACAGTTTTTACCTGGCTTTGATGGTAAAACTTCAATAACTTTGTGGATTGTAGAGGCCCTAGAAGGGATGCATGAAACCCAATGGAAAACTATATTTACGGTAATTTTAGTAAACATTTCTCTTATAAACTGGTATTCTATAAAAGCTTTTGGTACCATAATTTAAGTAATTGGTACTTAGTAAGAACTTAATATTACACAAGACTGCCCAATTAGTGGTGGCATGGCAGAGTGGTTAACACGTTGGACTAGTAATCTAATGATTGCTAGCAGCATGAGTTAAAACTCGAACAGGGGCAAGTTGTTTCCTTGAGCAAAAAACTTTACATTTATTGCTCAGTACTGGTTGGTTCCAGGAACGGATTCAAGAGTGTGTCTATAAGCTTATAGCTTCCAACACTATCAAACTATAATGAATTCTGTATAAACCAAAAGACTGCCCACTGAAATGAATAGAGTGGTAGACAATAGGGTTTTATGTTAACATTTCCTGAGAATGCAAGTCCTGAGTACAATATTAAGTCAAGACATTAATGAATGTGTACATTTAGAAAAGCATTTTACCATACTGTCTATTGTTCTAAAGAATTCTTATGGTTTCATCGGCCCTTTGATAATACATTAAAATATTTAGTACAAGTCTGCATATAAGTTTAGGTCATTTATTCTAATTTTCAAGTTTTTGTGTATTAATTACAAAGAACTGTTTATACAAATTTGTATCTATCTTTGCAGAAGAACAATCCATCAGCGAGATCTTTACAAGTGGAGAACTTAAAGCCATATACTCACTATAAGCTACGCATCACAGCGGAGAATATTGTTGGTCGCAGTGGTCCTAGTGAGCCTACACGGTTATTTCAGACAACTCAAGACGTCCCTGGCGCTCCACCTGGTAACGTCACAGTCCGAGCACTTAATGCCACAGCTTTACGTGTCAGTTGGACAGTATGTATATTAAACATAATACATCACAGTATTATCAGACAATTATTTGTTCAAGCTTGGTATCTTTTAAGGGTTTCATATGGTAGCCTAGAGGCACTAGTAAGCTATTGGGCACTTAAATAGAACCACAAACATGCCATAAGCTAGCCAGATGATATTCTCTCAAAGGAATCAAAGTCTATGGTGTGCCTCATAGCATTAAAGGACTTATCACATTGATTTTATTTTGAGGCTGTGTCAATGTAAAAGTGATATTTTTATTTTTAGCTCGACTATACGAAGTATATGGAGAGCTGTCCTACTCGCCCCGGCGTCGGCGTCCGCGTCCAGATTTCAGATTAAAGTTTTGGTGCAGTAAAATATTTTTCACTATAACTTTGTCATTTCTTAAGGTATCAACTTCAAACTTCAAATATATATACACCTTATCATCATCTAAACTTATGTGACAAGGTTCATAACTCTAGCACCAATATTTTCAGATTTATCTCCCCTTGAACTTAGAATTTTCCTTAAAAAATACTATTTTTTACTGTAACTTCTTTATTTCTTAAGGGATCAACCTCATACTTAAAATATATGTACCTTATCATCATCCACATGTTATGTGACAAGGTTCATAACTCTAGCACCAATATTGCAAGAATTATCTCCCCATAAACTTAGATTTTTATACTAGAAAAATGTTATTTTTTACTATAACTTTTTTAGTTTTAAAGGTATCTAACTCAAACTTCAAATACTTATTCCTTATCATCAATTACATTTTATGTGACAATGTTCATAACTCTTGAAGCAATATTTACAGATTTATCTCTCTTTGAACTTAAAATATTATAACTTCTTTACTTTTTAAGGTATATACTTCAAACTTCAAATATATATTTCTTATCATTATACACATGCTGTGTGACAAGGTTCATAACTCTAGCGTGACTATTTCTAGAATTATTCCCCTTGATCTAGGAATTTATGTTAACAAATGTTATTTTTTTACTATAACTAAATACATAATTATACATAATTCATTTTTCTTGCATAGTTTTGTCCTCCTTACTGTGTCCAGTATTTTATTAGTCGAGCTTCGCTGTCTCCTGTGACAGCTCTTGTTTAAACTAATTTAATTGAATATTTTCCTATGTTTTTAAACTTTTAATGACTTAAGCATAAGTCAATGTTATAATTATGTTTCGGAGATTATTCTCTATTATGATTCCATGATAGTGATATTGCAAACATTAAGCTACAAGCCAGTTGAAGGTTTTGTTTTTATGGTAAATAATGACATTGATTTTGTCAAAGATAATATTCAACTTTTAATTTTTCAGCCATTGTCAAAGGGTGATTGGAATGGTGAACCAAAAGGATATAGAATATCATATAAGCTTAAAGATGCAGGTGTAAACTTTCAGGTATACATTTCACAGAATATTCCTTTATGTATGCAGATTTAAATTTTAATGAAATACAGACTTGGCAAAATTACCGAATATGTCCAACTTTTAGCAAGGAAAGTCTTAATTGATTGTTTGACCAAAACAATCTGACTGACATGTCTGATTGTCCAAACAAATTTCATGAAGTTTGCTGGAGGCCAGAAATGCATTTTGGGCCACCTCAAAATTTAGAAAACACTATCTGTTGTATGCGATAAAATAAACAATGACCGCCTCTACGTGTTTCAGAAAAATTTAAATGACAACCCTGAGCCTGAAAATATTTCATGTTAGTTATCTATTATAATTATGTTGCTATTTTTGGTCAAATTTCATAAGAAAATAGTAATTGCTCTGAAATTATGATTTGAATTGAGTTTACTTTTGACTTCCTTTCATTTTGTTATTTATACAAATAACTTATATACAACGTATGTGATTTTGAATAAATGAATTCTGTTAGGACTTCCATTGGTCACTGACAAAATATTTGCCCTTCACAGCTGTAGCTTCACATCACATTGAAAACTTAACGTTATACGGGTACTTAGGTATTGTTGCTGTTTATTTACTTTGATGATTAAAAGATTATTAAAATCTTCTTGCTCAAAAATAGAGCTTTAAAATAATGAAAAAATGTTGTTGAAACCGAAACAAAAAATAAAATATGAGAACACAAAGTGTTATATCTGTATTCAGGTAGTAGATTTGGAGAATGGTATGAATCTAGATAGTGCTATACTAGGTGGTCTACAGGAATGGATGCAGTATGAAGTAAAGATGATAGCGTACAATGATGCTGGCAATAGTTCTGATAGTCCCATCACAATAGAGAGAACTAGAGAATCTGGTAAGTGAATATATATTTGATGCGAGTGTAGGACAAAATCCCTCTCAGATAAAAACCCTCTTGTCTGCCCTGTCATCTACATGGGAGGGCTTTTGTCCGCCTTGTTATTTTGTCGAAAGAGCTTTTGTCCACCATGCCATTTTAAGGGGAGGGCTTTTGTCCGCCTTGTCATTTTTGGACGGGAGGGCTTTGTCCGTCTCCCATTTGATGCTTATCTGTAGTATAATGGCTGAAGTTAACCTTCAGATTAAGGGGGGTGGGAGGTTGTTTTAATGTCAAACATAATCTAATCTAGTTGATAATGATCAATCTTGGTTTCATTTACATTGATTACTTTTGGTTCCACACACATGAAATAGGAATGATTATTTGATGGTTTACACATGGCTTATCAATACATTATTTGGTTTATTGACAATAGCATAGGGTTTCCTGATTTAAGTACATGAATAACATCTGCAAGCTGTTTAGGTAAATTGAAATTTTATTTTTTGTGTCTACTAATTTTATGGCTTTTATTGCCTTTGAATTGTTTTATAAACTTGTCTTCTTGAAAGCAGTTTTGAATTTTGTTACAATGGTTGATGAAACCACAGTCAGATTGAAATGTAATCATTGAAAATTTCAGTGCCAAGTGAGGGACCACAGAATGTACATGCAGCTTCTATATCATCTACTAGTGTTAATGTATCATGGGGCGACGTTCCTACATTACAACAAAACGGCATGATACTCGGCTTTAAGGTAATTATAATCATTTGTGACTGTGTTACATAAACTATATTCTTAATTCATGCCAATTTTTTTTAATTTGCAGTAAAAGGCTAATATTTCGGGTTTATGTTTTTTTTGCAGCTCGGGTTACTTGTGCAAATGGACTATTTTCAATTTCTTTGTGGCCCACTGCCTAATCAAAAAGGAAATACTTCTGTCATTTTAATTTTCAAAAATTACGATTTTTCATTTAAAAAGAGAAAAAACTAATGATTGATATCAAAAAAAGTAAAATTGAATATGTCTCCTTGTAAATATGAGAAAACTATTGAGAAATACGCCAGTCATTATCACTGAATTCAAATAGTTAAACTGTTAACTACATAAAATAATAGCCTAACATATGTTTGTAAACAGGTTGAGTATAGATCGTCGGAGAGAAATATTCCTACGCAGTCATTAGATGTTGCAGGTAATACAACCAACCATGTTATAGTAGATAATCTACGCAAGTATGTCACATATGAGATCCGAGTGTTAGCGTATACAAGAATGGGCGACGGTGTCCCCAGTGCACCAGAAGTCGTCGTACAAACTAATGCTGATGGTGAGTCAAGTTTGTTTGATTTGGTTAACACACATAATTATTACAAGATTGTTAATTTGAAGAACATTTACATTTTGGTAAATTTGATACAGATATTGATCGGTTTTGTTTAATTATGTTAACGTTAAGACACAACTTTTTTCTGTTCCATCAAAGTAATTTCTACCTAAAACACTTAGGTTTACTAAATGGTTACACTTTAGTTTATTATTAGTATTTAATTAAAATGACATGATTTAAAAAGGGACCATTGTTTTATATTGTAATTGTATTGTTGTTCATCAGTAGATTGTGTATGACTTTTACAAATGACTTATTGTTTTAACCAAAGAAAACCCATTTAACTCAATAAAAGAGAGTGAAGTTTAATGTAAATGAAATATATTAACATGTATGTGTTTTGTAAATTGGTAAGTTTTATATGTAAACAGTAACATAAAAATGTCAAATGTTATATTTATAGAGTAACATGTTCTATAACTGAATTGAATATTGTGTATATCTTTTAGTGCCTGGTCCCCCACAGATAATCTGGTTCCCAGATGTGTCTTACAGTGTGGTAACAGTAGTGTGGGAACCACCAGCAGAACCCAATGGCATAATTACAGGTAGACTTGAAACTTTATCAATGCTAGCATTATATTGCTGGGATGATTAAAGCTTTAAAGGGAGACAACTGAGTCTGTTTTTCCTTTCATATTAGTTTCTATAGTAGTATCCATAGTAAATGTTCTTTAATAAAGGTATACAAATTAAATATTGATATTCTAATGTCAAATTTTATTTAGTTATATGTTTCAAATATAGCTTGCTTTAAAAAAGAGAATGATTAATTCTTAAATTGTAATATTTGTTGTTTATTTTTGTTTGCAATACACATTTCATTAATTAATGATTTATCATTCCTTCCTGAAATAATCATTAGATAAAACTGTTGATAATTTGTATATAGGTTACATGGTGTCTTATAAACTTCGGGACAGCCTGGACGACTATGTGAACAGTTCCACTCTCAGTTCTCGAACTTTCAACTACACTGTTGGAAACTTACAGAGGCAAGCGTTTTATGAGTTTAGAGTGACAGCTAAAACAACCCTAGGTTGGGGAGAGACAGCCTCGGTGGAAGTCTTCACAATGGTCAACAGAAGTAAGTTTAAAATTATTGTTTTAGATATCAATTGTCTGGATTTTGAACATTTGAATCAAACCTTTTCTATGCCACCATTTTAGAACCAGACCGATTTATACATCCTAGCAGTCTGACCTGACTCGGGACTGTGCATGCTTAATATTATCAGTTGTATAGTAATATCCTGCATATTTACAAAGGTCTGTCCAATATCAAATTAGGACCAGTTCTGTTTAGTTTAAAAAATATAGCACTGTAATGGAAATACATCATTCAGCTTTTAGTCAATAATGGAGCTTGAATTAAAGCCAATTTTGGACAATTATTCTATGCTGTGATTAAGTACAAGGAATTGTGATGTAAGAAAACTTACAGGTCCTACAAATAACTGAAGTATATGTTTGACCAATTTGATACTAAATAAAGCTCTTCATTTCAGGTGCACCAGACAATCCTTCCAAGCCAACAATCAAGTCAAGCCAGGTTCAAGCCAGATCTGTTACTATCAGCTGGATACCGGCTCCATTTAATGGCTATGGTCCCTTGCGTAATTTTACAGTACAGTACAAGAATGGACAGTCTTGGATGTCAGTAAAGGAACCAATCCCACCCACAGTAACAACATATCCTGTTCAAGGGTTAGTTAATTCATAGATAAATATAATGAAATTATACTATTTAAAATATTATGTGAATTATATTTGGCTTATTTAGTATTAAAGACAATGTTATGTTTTTTATTTGGCACAAAATAATATGCTTATATTATGATATAAGTAAATGTTATTGTGATTTTTTTTAATTTTCAGACTGCGTCCCAATACAGAATATGTTTTTCGAGTAGCTGCAACAAATGATATTGGAACCAGTCCATTTAGTGTACAGTCTGATAGTGTGCGAACTCTGGAAGATTGTAAGTTTTTCGCATTTATTTGTATTTGTCTGTTACAGCAAATTAATTTAAAGCCATCAATTTCTTCATACTTATTTGCTTACAGTTTATAAATGGCAATGTCTTTGCATATTCTTTGTAATTTTACATGATTGAGTTTTCGGGAAAAATATTGCATTAATTGTGTTAGCATAAAGTCCATTTTTGTGTGCTTTTATTTGACTCCTCATTTGCTACTGGATTTTTGTTTATTTGTTATTTTTTTCTGTTATAGTTCCAGAGGGAGCTCCCCGGCATGTAAAGGTTGATAGACTAACTACAACATCTGTAAGAGTTACATGGGAGGTAAGTTCTTAGGCGGAAAGTTTTAAGATTTTTATTATTTGATATTTTTGGGTGAAATTTAAAGCTGCTCGCCTCCAGATTAGCCAAAATATTTAAAAAAGAAATCAATACATGTATTGAGAAAAATGTACTAAAATGTTAAGAAAGGTAAAAACATTCAAGATCCAAGTTATACATTGTATTTTACATGTTATGTGAGGTTTCAGACTGATTTTGCAGTATTTTATTACCATATTTCTACTGAGTTACTAGTGCAGTAAGGGCTATTTTTGCATATATTGACAACTTTTTGGTAATTTTCTTGGATTGTAAGTGCCAATTGCAGTATGTAAATTACTTAATTTGTTCACCTCTTAATATTTTACTTTTAAATACATTTCCATGAAAATTTATATGAATTTGTATGTGTGCTGCTTTAAGGGTATAAGAGTAGTAAAGAAGTATTGTTTTTCCTTCACCTTCCTTCATTGCATCATTCTTGTACAAATTTGTCATGTGTGAGCTGATGGGATTGAAATATTTATATATTAAATTTAAGCATTAAGCAGTATAGACTGAGGTCAGATTGCATGGAAGTTTAGTTTGATCTAGTTCTATTCTGGTAGCATACACATGTTATTATTGTGGCTTGAGTTGAAGGAGATTGGTATCTCAAGTTTCAAATGGTATTTGTCAATCATCATAGAAAAAATAAAAATGCTTTGAAAACAAAGCACTACTGTATGGAATAAAACTGATTTTGAAAATTTAACTTGTTTTATTACATGCTTTTCGGTGGTTTACAGAAATATATCAGTGATATAAAACTGGTAATTTCACTGTTTCAAACAGTGAAATTACCACTTTGATAATTTCACTGTTTTGAATTTAAGCCCCTCACGTTGTTTCAGTGAAATACCAGCGTGCACAGTACTGGGGCCGTATTCATAAAGCTCCTAAGGGAAAAAATTCCCTTAGATTCTAAGATTTCCCTTAAAAAACGTAAGATTTCCCTTACTTTTTAAGAATTTCCCTTACTTTTTAAGAATTTCCCTTACTTTTTAAGAATTTCCTTAGTTGCTATTCATAAAACTCCTTAGGACAAAAATTCCTCAATTTTGGCCGATTTTTCCCTTAAATATGCCCATATGCTCCATTAACTTTTAAGGTACCAACTTAATGACGTGACGTCGTTAATGACGTCACGTTGTATTATTATCTGGCGCGCTTTTTATTCAGTATTAGGTTTAATGTCTTTTTAAAACGTTTCTTTGCATGTAATAAAAAGAAAATTTGTTTAGTTTAGTGTAAGATCGAAATATATTTCACCTTGTGAACGCCACTCGTGAAATATACCTTTTGGTGCTCACTCGGTGTAATATATTCCGATCTTACACTGAACTAAACAAACATCCTCTATATAATAAGTTTTATCGTAGTACATTATATTTAGATGATAAATTATAAAATAAAAAAGGTTTATATGTTGTTTTTTTTACACTTGGTGTCACATCCTGTTTTTGGGGGGACCTTATTACAGCACTTTTAAGCCAAATGACTGCTTCCAGTGTGTCATAACTAGAAATAGCACCAGTGATGTTTGAGGAATTTATAAAAAGACAATCTCACCTCTGGTTGGATTTGAACCAACAACTTTCATATAAGATTCGGTTCTTTACCCATACATCACTCTTCATGCACAATATAAATCTTACAACCTGTTTTAATCTATTTATAGCAACCTTTACCACACACCTGGAATGGCGATTTACTTGGCTACGTGTTGATGTACAGGCAAGCTGAGAACGTCAATTACATGGAGGTAGAGATTCCTGTTGACAGCACAGACAAAACACTTCCAAACCTGGTCAAGTTTGTGAACTATGAATTCCTGTTGAAAGCCTTCAACTCGGTTGGGAAAGGTCCAGCTAGTACACCAGTGACTGTGTTTGTAGGTGAAGCAGGTACGTTTTGTTATTTCATAGCTGACTGTCTTAAGAAAATCCGTTTTTATGGAGAAGTATTTTTGCTTTATGTATTTAAACATAGTTTTGTGAACATTCTTTGTTTTGATCATAAGGGAATGTTTTGAGATTTTGTTTTTGTTTTTAGCTCATCTGTCACAAAGTGACAGGGTGAGCTTTTGTGATCGTTTTTCGTCCGGCGTCCGTCCGTCGTCCGTAAACTTTTACTTTAAATGACATCTCCTCATAAACCGCTGAGCCAATTTCATCCAAACTTCACAGGAATGTTCCTTTGGTGGTCACCTTTGAAAATTGTTCAAAGAATTTTATTCTATGCAGAACTCTGGTTGCCATGGCATCCAATAGAAAAAACTTAAAATATCTTCTTTTAAAAATCCCATAGAGGTAGAGCTTAGATATTTTGCATGAAACATCTTCTAATGAGTGTCTATCAAGTTTGTTCAAATAAAAGCCCTGGTGTCAAATTTGGCCCCGCCCCAGGGGTCATTGATTTTCCCTATATGCATATAGTAAAAACTTAAAAATCTTCTTTTAAAGAACCCAAAGAGCAAGAGCTAAGATATTTAGCATGAAACATCTTCTAATGGGTGTCTACCAAGTTTGTTCAAATAAAAGCCCTGGGGTCAAAATTGGCCCGGCCCCAGGGGGTCATTGATTTTCCCTATATGCATATAGTAAAAACTTATAAAATCTTCTTTTAAATAACCCAAAGAGCTAGAGCTAAGATATTTAGCATGAAACATCTTCTAATGAGTGTCTATCAAGTTTGTTCAAATAAAAGCCCTGGGGTCAAAATTGGCCCGCCCCAAGGGGTCATTGATTTTCCCTATATGCATATAGTAAAATCTTCTTTTAAAGAACCCAAAGAGCTAGAGCTAAGATATTTAGCATGAAACATGTTCTAATGGGTGTCTATTAAATTTGTTCATGTAAGAGCCCTGGGGTCAAAATTGGCCCTGCCCCGGGGGGTCAATGATTTTCCTTAAATGTGTAAAGCAAAACCTTTAAAAAAAATCTTCTTTTAAAAAACCCAAAGAGGTAGAGTTTAGATATTTGGCATGAAACATCTTCTAGTGAGTGTCTATTAAGATTGTTCAAATAAAAGCCCTGGGGTCAAAATTGGCCCCGCCCCTGGGGGTCATTGATTTTATTTATGTGTAAAGCAAAAACTTAAAAAATCTTCTTTGAAAAAAGCCAAATAGCTAGAGTTAAGATATTAAGCATGAAACATCTTCCAGTTAGTGTCTTCAAAGTTTGTTCAAATAAAAGCCCTAGGGTCAAAATTGGCCCTGCCCAGGGGGACATTGATTTTCCTTATATGTGTACAACAAAAACTTAAAATCTTCTTTGAAAAAACCCAAATAGCTAGAGTTTAGATATTAAGCATGAAACATCTTCTAGTGAGTGTCTTCAAAGTTTGTTCAAATAAAAGCCTTGGGATCAAAACTGGCCCCGCCCTAGGGGTGTCATTGCTTTAAAGTATATGAGTATAGTTAAAACTTAAAAAAATCTTTTTTTTTAAAAACTCAATGAGCTAGACCTTAGATGTTTAGCATAAAACATCTTCTAATGGGTGTCTACCAAGTTTGTTCAAATAAAAGCCCTGGGGTTTAAACTGGCCCCGCTCTGGGGGCCTATATACAGGTGAGCGACTTCAGGGCCATCATGGCCCTCTTGTTTTTATTTTGTATGGATAATGATCCCTTATAAGTCTCAGATGTATAGATTGGCAATGAACTGTTTGATTGCAATACATGGCCACTTTTGAAGTTACATGCTTTATATATCAGAAAATTACCATGTTTTAACTAACTTTGACAAGGATAAACCATGCTGTATTTGTACATGAATAACTTTACAATAGTATTTAATTTTAATTCAATGACTTACTGTATATTTTTATGAATTTTTATGATTACATAGTTTTAATAAATGCTCTAAAATACCTGTTATTATCTCCCTTGTTTTATTGTAGCACCCACTGCTGCACCATTAAACATTATGACAAAGCCGATCAACTCATCCGAGATAGAGGTATCCTGGCTACCTCCTCCACCAGAAACTCAGAATGGAGATCTATCTGGTTATAGGGTACACTCATTTTACCTAATTTCTTTTACAGAAAAACATCTTATTTATTTGTATTTTTATACATCTTAGATAGATTTATTTTTTCTAGAGAAAACATTAAGGAGGGTTATCCTCACAACCAAAAGTATGGAGTCAGCACCACCAGTATAGAGACTTGTTATCTTGTATATCCATGTAGTCTGACCAAGCTCTTTACCTTTAGGCTATCTAAATTTAAAATTATCATCTTCATATCCTAATGTAGTTTATGCTTGATTGTGTCAAATCTTTTACAGAAATTTACTACACTGTTTTTTTTTTAATTTTTAAGTTTAAGCAAAAGAAGCTGTAATGTATTCAATTCTTAAGAAGATAGAAGTGTTTACTTTATAGTTTCTAGTTTTTCACAATTGGTACATCAAATTCATTTAGTGGGTTTATGGTTAAGATGTAAAAAGTTTGAAAGTATTGCTTATTTCCCAGAAGTGGACTTGTTCAAATATTCGGAAAGCTTTATTCACAATCAGGCTAAAATAAATCTGTTAGAAGTTAATCATAAGGTATTCATCTATAATTTGTATGTGTTTTAGATATCATACTGGCGTAGAACTGACCCAGAGAGTACAGCCAAGCAGGTTACCAAGCGTGAACAGTCGGTGATTCTTGTTGACCTTGACATTTACACAGAGTACGCTATTAGTGTACAAGCTATAAACCTGGCGGGAGAGGGACCTAAGAGTGCAGTAAAATATGAGAAAACATTGGAAGGATGTAAGTCTGTTTGTAAAAATATCACAGGTTCAATACATTACTGGTGTATGCACCTAATGACCAACAATGACAGTTTTTAGATGGATCATTGATAAAAATGTTTTTTTGTCCTCTTACAATATTTCTGTCATCTAAAGAAAGACATTTTACTACTCACTCCAACACTATTATAGCTGAGACTGACAACATAATACAATACTTAGCGAAGGTCATTATCAGGATTTATCACCTGTGCTGCTCTTGTGACTACCTAAAAACAGTGGTGCACAGTCATGCATATATTTTGATGTGACGACATTTGTGTTATATAGACATAGCATAAAGACACGTTAAATGTTAGCGATACACTATATACGCATCCATGAAAAAGTGATTGTTTTTTACTGTAAACAGTTTTTATGCTCCCCGAAAAATTTCGGGGGAGCATATAGTCGGCGCCTTGTCCGTCTGTCCGTCCGTCCGTCCGTCTGTCAATCCGTTTTCTTGTCCGGAGCGTAACTTGAAAACCCTTGGAGATAATTTCTTTAAACTTCATACAGTGGTAGAGGGCATTGAGGGGGAGTGCAGTGTCAAAGAACCATAACTCTATTTGGCCCGGTTTTTGAATTATCTCCCCTTATAGAAAAATCTTGTCCGGGGCATAACTCTAAAACTATAAGAGATATCAACATGAAACTTTGTAGGTGAATAGATCTCAATGGGTAGATGTGCAGTGCATAAGACCAATAACTCTTTTAGTCCTAATTTTGGAGTTATTGCCCTTTGTTAATTTCAACACTTTGAACTTTGTCCGGAACATAACTCTAAAACTATAAGAGATATCAAGATGAAACATTGTAGGTAGATAGATGTCATTGAGTAGAAGTGCAGTGCAAAAGAACCATAACTCTGTTAAGCCTTATTTTTGAATTATTCTCCCTTTTAGAAAAATCTTTTACTGGACATAGCTGTAAAACTATAAGAGATAACAACATGAAACTTTGTAGGTGAATAGATCTCAATGGGTAGATGTGCAGTGCATAAGAACAATAACTCTTTTTGTCCTAATTTTGGAGTTATTGCCCTTTGTTAATTTTAACACTGAACTTTGTCCGGAACATAACTCTAAAATTATAAGAGATATCAAGATGAAACATTGTAGGTAGATAAATCTCATTGAGTAGAAGTGCAGTGCAAAAAAAAACATAACTCTGTTAAGCCTTATTTTTGAATTATCTCCCCTTTTAGAAAAATCTTTTACTGGACATAGCTGTAAAACTATAAGAGATATCAACATGAAACTTTGTAGGTAGATGTATCTCAATGGGTAAATGTGCAGTGCACGAGAATCATAACTCTGCCTTGCCTATAATTCTGGAGTTATTGCCATTTGTTTATTTTTACTTTTTTAATTTGTCCAGAACATAACTCGGAAACCATAAGAGATATCAACAAGAAACTTTGTAAGTTGATAGATAACAGTGATTAGAAGTGCAGTGGAAAGAACAGTAACTCTGCCTTTCCTAATTTTGGAAATATTGCACTTTGAACTTTTTCCAGGGACATAACTTTGAAACTACAAGAGGTGTACTTTCCTAAGTCCAAAACCTATTCGGGGAGCATCACCCAGCTCAAACCGGGCTCTTGTTATTTTGGGTATTTGATCAATAGAATGTTATATTCACATATATTATATTCCAAATTTATTGAACTTTTTGTATAAATTTAGTATTGATTCTAGACACTCATTCAATATCCTCTATTTATGTTGTATTTAATCAGGTAAATCTAATTGAACATTGTTGATATGAAGATTTTTTTACAGTTATTTGGTTGAGAACATAGAAAAGCTTGGTACAAAATCAGGAATGAATGATTATGATTACTGTCCAATGATATATGATTAGGTATTAGATCCATAACAAATTATGATTAATGCAACTTTGTTATTACAGTGCCTGGAAAGCCGGCCTCTTTGAAGTTTTGGAATGTAACATTCATGTCCCTGGATGTTAATTGGGAGCCCCCACTTAAACCTAATGGCAGAATTGTCAACTATGAACTGTCATACCTGGAACAGAACTCTGCTAGTAAGTTTACTTATTGATATATGTTAATTGATATATGTCACAGTTTATGATAAACATAGTAAAGTAAGCATACAGTTGTACTTAATAGATATTGTATCATATAGCATGGCATTGAATTTTAGAAAAATGATTTTGTAAAGAATAATTATTTTTTATTGCAACTTAGTTAAATATGTAGAAAAATTCACATAGGACAAGACTGAAATAAGTTTGATGTTTTAAATTCTTGTTTATTTATGTAAGCTTGAATTGAATTATTATTATTCAAAGAAGAGAGGCTATATTGATTTGCATTTGTCGGTCCGTCGGTCCGTAGACCAAATGGTTTCCGAATGATAACTAAAGAACGCTTACAATGGTGAAAGTTTTCAGGATTATTCCTGAAGTTCAGGATTTTCAGTCTCCTGAAAGCCTTCTATTTGTTATGTACAACTATAGAAAAACTGCTTAATTCAGGATTTTTGAAATTTCCAACTTTCACCCATGCGCTTAGGCCTACAGTACGTTCAGCGCGACTTTTTCAAAACCCGCGTGACCCCGCGGATGAGGTTTACCGCGGACGAAAATTTGCTTAGATATTGTCCGCGGGACAGAAAATTTTCACCACCGCGGACATAAATCGGCGACTGAAACCGTTTCCCCCGCGGAACGCAGTGGTAAATTGCGGAGGAACGCGCAGGTCAAACACCGGTCAACGCGGTGGAAACCTTAAATTTTAAAAATTAATTACTGTATTTTAACATCAGTATACGTATGTACATGTACTGTAACATGTACTGTACATATAACATGTAACTATATGTAAAATTTGTTTTGTTTTCTTTTCTTTTTTGTTGTAATAAAGTACATGTACAAATGCAGTGTTTTTTTTGTTCTTCTTCTTGTTATTGTGTTGGGTAATGTATAATATGTATTCGACATTAAGAAAATAAATCATTGTCGTCGCAACTTCATGGTAGTGAGAAACTTGAAGTCAAATAATGAAAAATTCGGCATATGACATTTATGAAAAAGATACTACAACAATTTATATGCCAGCTTTTGTTTCTTATTTAAAAACTTTGAAAACGTAACCCTCAACAATTTTTATTCAGGCAATATTCCAGGACGTCTCTTTCAATTGTCAGATGCGTTTTACTGTTTCTGTTTATTTGCATGTTGATCATAAAGTCTTATATTTTATTTGGAACATTAAAAGAAAGCGTTTATTTCACCAAAATATACATTAAATGATATTTTGATTTATCTAATTACAGGTGTGAGCGTAATGTATATGTTTTGAAGTTTGTATCAACTGTTGAAGTTTATTTTCATTTTTAGCTCGACTATTCGCAGAATAATCGAGCTAATGCAGTCACCCATTTGTCGGCGTCGGCGTCGGCGTCGGCGTCGGCGTCCCTGTGGTTAAGTTTTTGTATGTAAGCTGGTATCTCTATAACTACTGAAGGGAATGGATTGAAACTTCACACACTTGTTCTCTGTAATTATCTAAGATGATTGGCACAAGTCCCATAACTCTGATTTGCTTTTTTTCATAATTATGCCCCTTTTTCGACTTAGAAATTCTTGGTTAAGTTTTTGTATGTAAGCTGGTATCTCCTTAATTACTGAAGGGAATGGATTGAAACTTCACACACTTGTTCTCTGTGATTATCTAAGATGATTGGCACAAGTCCCATAACTCTGATTTGCTTTTTTTCATAATTATGCCCCTTTTTCGACTTAGAAATTCTTGGTTAAGTTTTTGTATGTAAGCTGGTATCTCCTTAACTACTGAAGGGAATGGATTGAAACTTCACACACTTGTTCTCTGTGATTATCTAAGATGATTGGCACAAGTCCCATAACTCTGGTTTGCTCTTTTTCATAATTATGCCCCTTTTTCGACTTAGAAATTCTTGGTTAAGTTTTTGTATGTAAGCTGGTATCTCCATAACTACTGAAGGGAATTGATTGAAACTTCACACACTTGTTCTCTGTGATTATATAAGATGATTAGCACAAGTCCCATAACTCTGATTTGCTTTTTTACATAATTATGCCCCTTTTTCGACTTAGAAATTCTTGGTTAAGTTTTTGCATGTAAGCTGGTATCTCCATAACTACTGAAGGGAATGGATTGAAACTTCACAAACTTGTTCTCTGTGATTATCTAAGATGATTGGCACAAGTCCCATAACTCTAATTTGCTTTTTAACATAATTATGCCCCTTTTTCGACTTAGGAATTCTTGGTTAAGTTTTTGCGTGTAAGCTGGTATCTCCATTACTACTAGAGGGAATGGATTGAAACTTCACACACTTGGTCTCTGTGATTATCTAAGATGATTGGTACAAGTCCCATTACACTGATTTGCTTTTTTGCATAATTATGCCCCTTTTTCGACTCATGAATTCTTGGTTAAGTTTTTGCATGTAAGCTTGTATCTCCATAACTACTGAAGGGAATGTATTGAAACTTGAAGAGTTTGTACCTTTTCGGACAATTTTATGTATTCATATAGGTAAGCATTATTATACTCAATGAAACACCCTTGTGACAAATTTTCGAATAGTCGAGCGTTACTGTCCTCCGACAGTTCTTGTTGTTTTAGTAGTTTGTTGTTTGGAAGACGTAAATATTAGTGTTTATTTTTATTTCAAATTCCGTTCAAATAATTTAACGTATAATAACATTTAAGGAGACGATTGTGATCAATTTTCAAGTCATTGTGTAAAAAAGATGACGTTAAAAAATAATAAAACGTCTATTATTTTTGGAGGTTAATTTATACTGACCAACTGACCATGGCGTTCCCCCGCGGGAAACGGGTGACTGATTTTATCGATAAATGAAGAATGGTCGTCAGAATTTTGTCCGCGGTGGAAACAACTGAACACCGGGGATCGCGGGGAAATTAGGCTTCTCATCGCGGACGAACCCCCGCGTTTGTCCGCGATAAAAAAAAATCGTCCGCGGTGGTATCGCGGAAAAAGCAAAACCCGCGGTGAGCGTACTGTAGGAACTTCAAACTTGGTATGGTGATTGGTCATGACCAGTAGATGACCCCTATTGATTTTGGGGTCAAAGGTCAAGGTCACATTGACCTTGTAAGTAAAAATGGTTTCCAATCAATAACTAAAGAACGCTTAGGCCTAGGAACTTCAAACTTGGTATGGTGATTTGTCATGACCAGTAGATGACCCCTTTTGATTTTTGGGTCAAGGGGTCAAAGATCAAGGTCACATTAACCGTGTAGGTAAAAACGGTTTCCGATCAATAACTAAAGAATGCTTAGGCCTAGGAACTTCAAACTTGGTATGGTGATTGGTCATGACCAGTAGATGACCCCTATTGATTTTGGGGTCAAGGGGTCAGTGTCAAATTGACCTTGTGCTTTAAGATGGTTTCTGACCAATAACTCAACAACTCAAGTTGCCTTGGTTGATATTTTTATATTAAACTAAAAATGCTTTTGGTATACACATTTGAAGGTCTTAATATGTAATATAACAACTTGGCTGTCATTAATGAGGCCTAAATGATTCATAAAATTTATGCATATTTTTTTGGTAAGATTTTTAATAACTTAAATTGCTGCACACAACCTATGGGGTCACAATAATTAATACCTTGTGACTAGTCATGACCAGTAGATAACCCTTATTAATTTTTTGTTCACTGGTTCAGAAGTCATGCATAATAACCTGATCACATGGCTAAATGACTAATGGGGGCATACATGTTTTACAAACATATCTTGTTTCTATTAATTTCACATTCTGTAATGTTTTGTTAGAGATACTTTTTATCAAACTTGAACAACCAGTTTTACTCATGTATGAGTTCACCCTTATGTTTTCCTCTTTAGGTGGAAGTAAACTGGTGAAGTTTAATGTGTCAGGCAGCTATAACCTGTTAAACATAAAGGATTTACGAGAGAATGTCACCTATCTGTTCAGTATATCAGCTAGAACTGCCATCGGTCAGGGAGAGAGAATGGACCAAAATGTGACAGTTGGACCACAGCCAGGTAATATGAGTGATATAAAAAAATGTCTATTTTCATTAATATGTTGTTTGTTTTTGTTTCTTTTGTAAATATTATGTTTGCATAGCATTATGCTCTCCTACAATTTGCATAAATTTTCAAGGAATGACTGCAAGACTGTTGTAAGTCCTTCTTTATTTCATATAAGTTACTGCAGTTTTGTGGTCAACGCTCAATATGTAATTGATGTGAAAAATAAAAACACAATACATCTAGTTTTTGGAAAGTAAGTGGTTGGGTGATTTTATGATACATCTACATCATACTGCTTTAAGATTGTTTACAATTACACTAAGCAGGTATACTGTATACATTGAATTGAAAGATAGCTGATACAATGATATATGGAGGAGCTTACCTGTTTCTCTACCTGTTGATGATGGACAGTTGCCTATCTATATTGGCCCAGACTTACAGCTTGAAATATTTTCTTTTTGGACTTAATATAGCAATTAACAAATACCTTCTGTAAAACTTTTGGTTACATTTTATTTATTTTTTTTCATTTTTCGTCTTAATCAGTTGTGATAAGAACAATTTTAAATACTGGCTATTTACTACCAATATGTTTAAGTATGTGCAATTGTAGTAAAAAAAAAACAGTGGCATGTCTAATAATCAGATGTTGAAACAGAGATGGCTAATGAATTATTTTATTATAATATATCATAATGACATATCAATTTATTTTTTTGTTAGGTTCACCAGATGCTCCCACTAGATTGACTACAACAATGAATCCTAATAAACAGAAACTGACTCTAGTCTGGGACTCAGGGTCATCAGGTGCAGCTGATATATACGGACATCTTATACAAGCTAAACAAGTTGGTAGGTACATGTAGAACAATGTATGGGCTGAGGTCTACACATGAAATGACCCAAGATATTTCACTCGTGTCTCATGCCACTGAAATTATGGGGTCACACATTGGAACCATTTAGTGATGCTTCATTGATTTGATGCTTAAAGTTCCTATGTTGTATTGAGAAAAAAAAAGGGAAAATAAAATGTATTTTATTCAATGTCAATAATATTCATAGTTTTGTTAGGGAATTAGTAAAACAAATTTTGGTGGTTTATTTTGTGAAATGGTTGAATTGTTTGACTTCATAGCACTTGTATTACTCTGTTATATCATCCAGTTTTGCCAGATACTTCTTATTCCTAATGAATAGTAAGCTGTCTAATTTAAGCTAGTGTAAAGTTGATGATTCTACTTTAATACCAGTTCATGACCTAAGTAATAATAATATGCAGTGAAGCAAGTCTCCACTATTAGTTACTCTACTATTTAAGATTAAATGTCAAAATATGACCTTTTCATTGTTTGTGTGGCAAAAGAATTAGGTTGAATTATGATAACATATTATCAAAACAATTTCTAGGTCGACGAAATCGTAGAAATTTGGACTGTAAGTATCAGGCTCATGTTGGAATGCACCATGTTATTATGCTTGTCTAGTCAGTTATGTTTATAGACATATCCATATAATAGTTGCATCAAACATTTGTCATCATAGTCTTCACAATGTATCATGTAACATTGGTCATACATCATCATAGCCAGTACAACAAATCATACAACATTTTGACTAATTGCCTAGTCTCATGTTTTTGCTTTCACCATCCTTTCCTATAGCAATGTATATTTTGCATGGATATTTTTATATTATGAGTTTATGAATCCCGAAAAACCCACATTTTTGACAATGACAATATTAATCATTGGTTTTCATCATGCACGTTGCCCCACCACCCTTTGTGTTTGTGTAAGTTTTCCCAACCCAAATTTCCCCACCTAATGTATTATTTCTCTCCATTTAATGGGTAGTATATATTTTGTTATTAGATTACCTTACATTTCCGTTTATGCAATTATTTGCTTGTTTTCTTTTAGGCTGACTATTACAACAAAAAACTTTATTACAGCTTGTCTGTAAATAGGTTATAAAAGGAAAAGAAATTAGTTTACATTCTTTTTAACAAGAAGTATTTGAGCCACACCATGACAAAACCAACGTAATGTGTTTGCGACCAGCATGGGGGAAAAAAAAAAAAAAAAATTCCCCCCCAGAAAAAAACCAGCCTGCGCATCCGTGCAGTCTGATTTCAGGATCCAAATGCTGGTTTTGCTGTTTGCTTACAAACCCTATTATATTTGGGAGGAAACTGATAGCAAAACAGAAATTGGATCCTGATCAGGCTGGTTTGGGATCCATGTTTTGGGTCGCAAACGAAACTTTTTGGGGTTTTGTCCTGAAAAAACGGCCCCAATTTCATAGACAAAATTTCTCATTACTATAAAAATACTTTGCCTTGTGGAATTATCTAGAAAGGAAATTTTTTAAAAACTACTAATACAAAAATCAAGGACAAAAAATTTTTTTTAAAAAAAAAAGTCATAACGGGGTAAAAACTTTTGAAAACCCAGAATTTTTATTTTCAGTTTGGGTAGCCGAGCATATTCCATATATTTTATTTTTAAAGTTTCCCTGTATTACTAAGTAAAATTAAAAAAACAAAAAAAAAACTTCCCCGGTTTTTAAACCGGGAAATTTTAATTTTTTTAAAAAAAAAGTTGAATTATCATGAATTTGTTTATTTTATTTGGTTTATTTTCTTGTTTTTTTTTATGCAGTCTATGGAATAAGTGCAGGTAATACTTAGAAACGCAGAGAATTTGATTGAGCAATATAAAAGTAAAAGTTAATGACCTAAATGCTTTATGTGATAGGACATATTTCACTGAAACACCAATTGAGCCACGTCATGACAAAACCAACATAGTGCGTTTGCGACCAGAATGGATCCTGATCAGACTGCGCGGATGCGCAGGCTGGTCTGCATCCGAGCAGTCTGATCAGGATCCATTCTGTTCGCTATCAGTTTCTCTACTTGTAATAGAGTTGGTAAGCGAACAGCATGGATCCTGATCAGACTGGGCGGATGCGCAGGCTGGTCTGGATCCATGCTGGTCGCAAACCCATTATGTTGGTTTTGTCGTGACGCTCAAATATATAATGACTAATGAACAAAACTTTTGTAAAGTTATTTACTGAATTACCTAACTGTGTAATAAATTAAGTAATGAATTAACTGATTGATTTAGTGATTGATTAATTGATGGATTGATTACTTGTATTTCAGATGTAAATCAATGGACACCTGTTAAACAGATCGGTTCACAGCCACGGGCTGAAATTAATTTGTTACAGTTTAATCCAGACACCACATATGTTTTACGTGTGATTGCTCTGAATGATTATGGTATGAGTCCATACAGTGAACCATCACAGGAATTCAGAACTCCCGCAACTGTTTCTCCAAGTATGTATTGCTACAAAAATGCTTTTTGAAAAAAAAAAATTTGAAAAAATTTATTTTCTTAAATGTTTAAACTAATTTTATTTTTTACATTTTTTCAAAAGATTTAAACCCCAGAAATTCACAGAAAAAAATTTTTGTCCCTTGGGGCAAAACACTTTAATGTCCAAAATTGTTTTTTTTTTTTCCCAAAAATCAGTTTTATGACAAAATTTTGGTAAATTGATCCATAGTGTGAAACAGATCAGATAGATTTTTCAAAAACAAATTTCTGTTTTCATTTAAGATTTTAAGGCAAAAAGGCAAAAAAGAAATTCCTTTTTCCCAAGGCCCTTTGGTTCCTGGGTTTTTTGTTGTTTCCTAGCAGGGGGTTATTGTAAATTACTTTTGGTTATATCCCTTTTTTTAATGTTTTGGCCCTATTTTCGAAATGGGAAAAAAAAATAGAAAGAAATTTTTAAAAAAATTAAACCCACTGGTTCTCTAAATATATTGTACTTTAAGTATTTCAGCGTATTAGGTATTGCTGGTGAACGGTAACTGTTAAGTGCTTGTTCTGTGTACACAAATGTTTAAGTTCTATGATGAAGAATAGGATTAATATTACAAACTTTTGCTTCACTTCATATTTACATGTTTAATATTTATCGTGAACACTTAATATTTTACATGGACTTGACCATCTTTAAAATTTAAATATGGATAGAGAAATTTATCATTTTTAGGTGAAATTTCAAAAATATTTATTGCCTGAATAGCAAACAGTGCCGACCATGTTTAAATGGCAAAGATGTGCTAGCAGATCTTGGTCTGCACTGGTCACATCGGTAGCATGCATAATTATGTTCTGGTGACATTCATAAAGTACAATAGGTGTCTTTGTCAGGTTTAAGGTCCTTAAGTGCACGCTAACTCCTGTACAAAGTTAGAGTGTGTTTAACATGACTTTGATATACAGAATGATTTCTTAGCTTTCATTTTTCCTGCCATTTTATACTAGTTCTTGTATTTTTAAATATAGAAAAAAGACAGAAAGGTACAACCCTGTCCTCTACTTCAAATCTAACACCATCTTTGGAACCTGAGGATGGAGGTTTCAGTAATTTCGAGATGACTCAGGGGAGACAATCCACGCACAGCAGACGGCAGAAGTTTGCTGGAATCAGAAATGGATCCGTTAATAATATATATGCAAGGGTAAATTAGAATAAAGAATTTCTTTTCAGTCTTTTTAAATATTTGGGATATTTGATTTAGGTGTCTCGTAAAAAGTTTGTTAAGATATTTGATATAAAACCCTTTTAGTAAAAATTTTTTTCATTATTTTTACTACTGGTTTGGGAGATAAAAATCGGCCAAAAATCAGTGTTTTTGGGGCATATTTATTTTTTGTTTAGTTTTTGATAAATTTTACCAAAATAAACCCGCCTTAAATTTTTCCGGTATCCCCATAAATTTATTTTTGGAAAAACATAACGGGAATTTTTTAGAGACCCGGGAAAGGGGTACGTAAAAGGTATTTTTACGTGCTGAGTAGATAATTTCCGGCCTTTTTTTTTTTTCTTAAATGAGTAAGTTAAAAGTAAAAACATGTTTATAGACATTTATTTTTTCTTTGTGTTCATTATGTCAAATAAAAAATTTGTTCCCCCAAAAAATTGTTTTAGCATTCGTTATAAAAATGAATTCTATGATAAAAGATATTTAAAATTGCCGTACTATGTAACCCAAAAAAAAATTTTTTTACGTAAAAAAAACCTGATATCTTTTATTCTATAAAGAAAAATGTAGTTAAAAATTTGATTCAATTTATTTTTTTCTTGTTACGAGGGGGAATTTTTTTGGGATCATACCTTAAAATTAAAAGGGCAATTAAAATCGTTTTCCCATTCCCTTTAAAAAATTACAATTGTGAAAAACAGCCTTTTTCTTAGTTAGCAAGACAAAATGTACAAAATTTAAAAAAGTCGTCTGCTTTACGTTCGGTAATATTAAGTACCCCCGGCAGGCCCCAAAAAGAGCATTTTTCACTGGAAATGGGTTCCCCCTTTTTTTAGGCGTGTTTTGTAAAAAAACGGTAAAAATCTGTGTTATTTTTTTAAAAGTTACCAAAAATTGTAAAAAATTTTTCAATATTTTCGAATTCCAAAGGGTGTAGGATGGTGAGCTTGATTTTGATTTAAAAAAACCATAAAATCGATTTATTATAAAAAGCGAGTTTTTCAACCCGCCGAAGTTATCTTTCCCCCCCAGTTTTCTATTGTACTTAAGTTGTATAGTTTTTAATAGTTAACTGTAAAATTACTCCATTTTACATAAAGGAGAAAAATGAGTGGGAATATGGAAAGGGAAAAAATTTCCTGCCTTTTTGATAAAGGATTGTAAAATTTTTGCTGATTATTGCTTCTATATTTAAATGTTCCTCCCGACCAAGCCCAGCCGTGTGGCTTAGTGCGTGATCAGGCATCAGGTCCAAACCCCCCTACCTGATTGATGACGAAAGCCAGTAGTGTACGAAAAAACCCTTTAGAATGGGGATTCATCGAGGGCTATTTCTTTCCAATTTTTTTTTGATTGCGTGTAAATCTTTGTAAAAAATATATGTTGATTAAATGGTGATTAAATTTTGTTTTTGAATGCATTGAAGGTTTAAAAGTGCATAATATATCTTTTGATATTTTGCTTGTTTGATTTGAAATATGTGACATTGGCCGCAGATTTTTTTATCCTATCTTTGAAAACATCATTACAAGAGATACAAAATTTATGCTTTTTTAGAGAAAAATGTAAAAAAAACCCAAATTGGGAAAAATAAATTTCCTTCCCTTAAAATTTTTAGGCAAAATTTAGAAAGGGCCCGTGATTTAAGATTTACAGCTTAGATCTTCCTCTTTCCCCCCCCCCCCCCAAACTTCCCCCTCCCCCCCATTTTACATTGGGCCCCTTAGAAATCCATTTCCCTCCGAAGGTGCCACAGCGGCCCCACCTCCAATTCCAAAGCATCCCTACACAAGCCGAGCACCGGATCTACCGGATCGGGGATTGTCAAATAACAATTCTTGGCAAAACCAAAATAACTCTTCTTTCAATGCCTATCAGTATACTGACAGTGAGGCTGAAAGTAGTCATTATGCATTCAGTTTGAATGGAGGACAAATTATGCTTAATAACACAGCTGGGTCGCGGGCGCCCCTGCCAGGATTCTCATCATTCGTGTGACGACAGTTTTTTTTCGCAGAATTATATTTTACCAGTATAATGAGGCTCAAGCTGTTGGATTATTGTAATTCCAAGGAGAAGAAAAATAACATATATATTTTCAGCATTTTGTTTTGTATGAAAATCTTTTGTTATGAGACTATGACAACTCTTTGGAGGAGTGTTTTCGTATACAATGATGAGCCAAAATGGTTGCGATTCTAATGATGTCGTTTCTGCTCTTGAAAGTGTTCAAATTGTTTGATAGTTTATAATACAACAGTTTTATACAAAATAAACTTTCTAAAGTTTTTTGGAAAAGGATATAAACTCCTGGTGTTGTAAAAACAACTGTTGAAACCTGGGTTCTTCCATTGACGATTACCTTATAAAATCCCGGTCATATTGTCCTCATTTTTGCAATACATATTCATAGTTGGGGTCCTTCGAAAAGCGGTTGTCCAAGAAAGTTACGCTGCAAACAGTTTTTAAAATAAGAATAAATGTTCAAATTAGCCCTTGGGGTTTTTGCTTTGCGGGTTTCCCCTTTTCTTATTTTCAAATAAAATTTGAAGACAGCGCCCAGATATGTTTCATATAGAAGACTTTTAGAAGTTTTAGGTTAACCCATGTGAAATGAAAAATTAACCATTTGGAAAATATTGGGCAACGGGCCCTTTGGATCCTGGAAACTTTCTGGTTTTACCCCTTTCCCAAAATTTGGGGTTGCCTTTTTGGATTAAAAAGCTCGGGGGTAAAAAAATTCTCCCCATATCCAGCTAATAAAAAAATGGGGCCTCACAAAATTTTTATTTTAAAAGCCCAAAAGTTGGCGGGCATTTAAAAAAAACCAAAAAATTGTTGATTGTTAAAAAACGGGTTTGGGACAAAAACGTAGAAAATTTTTTTGGAGATTTTCCAGGGGAAGGAGAACCCTTTTTTGGGTATTTCCTTAGAACCCCCAATTTTACTTATTTTTGAAATTGATAAAGGGAAAATTTCATATTTTGTTATATAAAAAAATTTTTTTTGATAGAAAAATAAATTATTGAAAAAATAAAATTCCCTCTTTTTGGGTAACCATTTATTTTTTTTAAAAATAAATTGAGAAGGGTAATTTTTTTGAAAATTGATTTTTGGGAAATACAATGAAATATGTCTTTAATAATTGTGAGACAGCATTATTTTTTTATATTCTACCTTACTTTAACTATTATTGATTATTTGTTATGACAAGAATGAAATTTGTCTATTTATGATTAACTGATAGATCTGATCTCTTGATGTTATAAATAGTAAATGACTTATATTTATTATTTGATTAATAGTTGAGATGGTTGCAAGTGTGAATTATTTTAATTGAGGGAATATAATTATCAAGACAAGACACCTCGTAGCATAAAGAGAAATAACTGAAATTCTTAAATTGTTGCTCCTTTACACTTTCAATATTATCCGGTATACAAATATGGTGGATGTTATAAGATAGACACTCCTATATGTGGCCAAAATAAATAAATATAAACCAGCTTTGTAAGATTATAGTAATTGACAACCATGACAACTAACTATAAAAGCTTATAGCTTCGAACACAAACTAAAATAAATTTGTATAAACTAACTAACTATCACTGGATAAATTTGTGAGAATGAAGATTAATCAAACTTTTTCTTCATAATTATCTTCAGGGTTCTGATTTCTTGTTTTGAAAGAATACAAAAACATGTCATCGAAAAGAATCATTGTTTCAGGGGTATTGTTTTTTTATATATGCAGAATTACACTGGGGCCCAAATTATAAAGTGGATAAAGACATACCTGGTGTCTGTAGTTTACAAAATTATGTTTTGATTTATGAAACATGATAGTTCTAAAATATCTGTATGAAAGAAATATGTCTGTATTATTTCCTAGAGTGAATGGTGCATGCACAAAATCATTGCTAAATGGTTGACACCCTAAAATAAATATCAGTATAAAATTTTGTGCTGGAACATTTTATTCTGTGTACCGGTATGTACAATTTCCAGTAAATTAAATAACAGATACAATTCTTTCAAGAATCAACCACAAGATTATAGAAACAACATAATTTCACTGTTTATAAATTTTATTTTAAAAGCAGCACACCTCCAGATTCCTGCAATTTTCATAAAATTATTTTCATAAAAAAATTTTGAAAATGTATTAAAAATTAAAATATTGTCTAGTGAACAAAGAAAATAATTTACACATTGTAACAGCACTTGCAACTAATTTATTACCAAAATGAGGTTAAAGTATGCAAAAATAGCTCTTACTTTGTTACAAATATAGTTGCACATTACATGAAGATAATTATTTTTATCTTGAATCTTTCTAATTTTCTTAAAAGTTCATTACATTTTTCTCAGGATTGATTTTCTTGAAATATTTTGGCTCATCTGGAGGCATGCACTGCTTAAAGAATCATGCACAATAATATCTGTTTAGATTTGAAGTAAAACGGATATATTTCTTGGATTGAAAACATCAGTGCAAGTTTTGATATTGACAAAGATTTAAGTTGTTGCTATGCTACAAGATTTCTGTTTTGAATTTTGTCAGATGTTGAGGAGTAATCCACGATGTTGCCAAGGGAACAAATTTATGCATAATTTATACCAAATAAAGTGAATAAAACCATGGTGATATAAAAAATATTTTTATATATACATAATGTATTTGTAAATAAAATGTTTAGTTATGCAGACATATTTTTTGTTTTGTTTTAGATTATATGTTTTTTTAGATTAGTGTGATTGGTTTATACATCTGAGGATCATTTCCATTGTTAGTAATATATGTAATGAATTTATAATAATAAGTCATTTTATATACATGTATGTATAGCTGTTTTTGTAATGCTTTCGGTATTGAAATATTTTGGTATTTCCTTAATGTACTATGTGAGATATGTAAGTTAATACACGATTGTTGGGGAAGTGAAACAGAACTAATTTCATAATGTTGTATGCTATTATGTTATACAGTACTTAACCTTCACTGATCATTTCCTTTCATTTCAAATACAGAGCTGAATTGAATATTCTGTAGTTATTTGTACAGTTGAAGAAGTAAATTTTAACATTTCGGGGCAGGGGTAAGCCATTGTTGATCTACACAATAAATCATGAGTCATGATAATAATAACCTTTTCCAGTCTGACCACGGGGTGAAAATTACGTAGGGTGTCCTATAATTCTAAATGCTTTCAGTTAATCATTCCTTCAATATTCATTGAGTTCTAGCTAAAAAGCCTTTGTGTTTTTCTAACACAATTAGCAAATATAAAGACGGCCTTTATTGTTGAATGGATGTTTCAAATGATGTACATTGTATATTTAGTCAATTACTAGATCATGCATTACTGAATAGAATGTTACTGTTGACACTTCTTTATATCAGCACTGATTTTCACTATTTATAAATACACACAGATGTAAATACCACACCAGATACTAGTATTTTGGAAAGTATGATTGTAAAGTGAAATGAATACTTGCGTCAGTCATTTATTGACCCAAACCCTACTGAATTTATATAATGGACTTGCCCAGCTGTGAATTTGGAACAGTCCATTCAAGCTTTATGGGATGTCAGTATAACAATACTAATTTTCAGGCAGCCAACAGTATAGAGCATGGTCAGGTTGTATGGATGTTCAGGCTGGCCTGGTACTATACTGCATGTACTGGTGGCAATGGCTTTGCTGTCTGATTCAGTACCGGCATTGCATGAATTAAGAAGATGTCATCAATCTTTTCTTTATGTACATAAATCTGTCTCTTTAATAAAGCTTTACTCTCTAAATAGTGCAAAATTGTACATTGAATGAAGTTATATCACTGTATTATTTATTGTAAGATCTGAAAGAAAGTACATTTAGATAATTACAACTTGAGAGAGGTACATTATGAGGTTGAAAAAAAACAAACAACAACAATCATAATCAAGACATAATAGCATACATAACAAAAGGGTTGAGATAAAACCTCGAATAACATGTTTTTCAATTTGCCACTTTTCTTTGTGGTCCTCTATTGACTTTTTATCAAAAAGTTACCTTCAAGTCTTATTTATTTTTATTGAGTACCAAAACACATTTTGTTAAACTGTCTCATATTTTCTGTTTCTTCAAAATTATTATTCAATATGTAGTTTAATCAAGAGGTGATATTATAATATATAGGTCTATGGTGGTATACATTTTTTTTGTAGTTAAAGGACATGATATAGGTATGAATACATGTGTAATATATTTACATTGCCTACTTGTCAGAACTAATATATTTGTTATTGTGTATGCATATTTTGGTCATTGCCTTTCACCTTTGACTCTTGTACAAATCTTCTAAGATCCCAAATCCTACTGGCAAAATGACACTGGCATTGAATATTTAGGATTTAAACTCGTATCAAATGAAATTTGGTTCTCCCATGGCGTAAATTTATTATTACAGAAATAAATTCAAGTAATGCATGAAGTTAGTGAGTAAGAGTTCTTAATCTGTATATATGTATATATAGCCTGACCTCATCAATATGGACATGACTTTAAAGCAGTTATACTCAAGGTTAGGTCTTTTTGTGTTTTACATTAAGGTGTAGTATCATTAAGAAGCAGATTGTAATCAAAATTGGACTTTTAATTTATCATAAGTCATTTGAACTGTGTCACAACAAAAACAGCATAATGCGTTTGCAACCAGCATGGATCCAGACCAGCCTGCGCATCCGTGCAGTCTGATCAGGATCCATGCTTTTTGCTTACAAACCCTATAACAAGTAGAGAAACCGATAGCGAACAGCGAGAAATCGATAGCGAACAGCACGGATCCTGATCAGACTGCGAGAATGTGCAGGCTGGTCTGGATCCATGCTGGTTGCAAACCCATTATGTTGGTTTTGTCAGAACGCGGCTCAAATTTTATGTTGATCATAGATGTTTCCTTAATTCACAGAAAATAACCGAGTGTTGAAATTATCAATAATAATTCTTGAAATCCATTCAAAAATCAGTATTGATTTTAATAGCTCAATATTCATGGAGATGTATCATGTTTTTCAAAATATACTTAAATGTCACATGAAATCAAGCTGTGTCTGTTATTTTAATCATACCATATTTCTAGTTGGTAATGTGGTTTCCATGGAGAAAATTGTGATTGTTCCGACATATT